ATCGCGCGAAATGATTTTCCGTCTTCCAAAAATGTAAAAACCAATCCGCGACGGAGCAACGCGATATCGCTTGAGCTTGCTCACACCGTGTCCGAAGACCAGGCGGCAACAAAATGGCGGCGCCCGCCAAGACAGTCGGGGTAATGGAGTGTCGGCACTCTAGAAGTATAGATCACATTCGTAACTTTCGGCGATGGTGGTACCGCGGTGGAAGAATCGCGCTCCCTAGCTCTTGAACGCCCTCCTGACGTGGAAGTCTGAAGTGAGGCTCTTATATCGCTCGCATTTCACGAAATTAGAATTACCTACGCGTCGCTCACCCAAACCCAAGTATTGCTTTCCTACGACGATCATCTGGATGCCAACGTGAAAGTTGCAGATTCAGGGGCTCTAGTATTAACTGAATCTAAAAAAATATATATATATATATTACGCAGGTTTTCTGACGCCACAGGCCTAATAAGGATCAGCGATGCACCGCGCGCTTTTTTGTTTTGTTATTAGATGTTTGTTTTGTTTCGTAACGTCGTAATATTATTAGCTGAGAAAGGAAACGCGCTCTCACGCAACGCAGAATTATGTCGTGGAAAGGACGAGGGGACTTAAGAAAAAATAGGATTGAGCAATTTCAGCTCTCTATCTCGCCCCGTGGCGGTTCCTCTGCGGCTCCCTTCCTCGCCCCCCGACGTTTGTTTATTTCTTTCTGCGAGTCACGTGACACGTCCGGCGGCTATGTGGGTCAGTCACGTGGTATCCTCTCTCGTTTTCCTTTGCGAGCTGCTAGAGCGGGAACTTCTGCCGCCTCCTGGTGACCGAAATAACAGTGTGAGAAAGTCGTCGATACACGAAAGTTGTCGTCTTGTAGACCTGTACACAAATAAAAGAAATTTCAGTATAATGGGTCAATGTCAAGATGACGAAGTGTCTTTCATCAAGAAATTCGGCAGATAAGTGTTCGGGCGTGCCTCAAGGGGGTGGATTATGTTTTATCTATCTTGCATCTTTTATGTTTTCCTTTCTGTTCCTCGCAGAAATAAACTTCAGTTACCAGGCAGCGTTGTGTTCGTTCACTTCTCGTTCTTGTCCTTTGTTTCTTTTCTCTTTTTTTTTTTTCGCGCTGTTTTTTCAAGTTTTCATTATGCACCAACTAGCCCAACTTCACGTCTTGTTACAAATTATGTCCTTGCGAAAAAAAAAAAAAAAAGAAAGAATAAAAAAAAATTATGATGTTTCGTTCATACAAACACCTCAACACCTCCTCAGCAAAGAAGCTGCCACTGCGCTTGCCCACCGATGGCCTTGACTGTAGAGTTCGGGGTATCGTAGCGGGTTGCGGGGAGCGTTGCTGAACGGCGAAAACGATCGACGAAAACTCCCTGATGTGAGTTCTCCAAAACAACGGGACAATAATGCGTGTATTTTCTCTATTTGTCGCCAGAAATGGTGTCCAGATACCGGGGTACCCATATTAGGAAGTTTAAGTAATGGTTTCCGCCGTACTCTTTTTTTTTTTTTTGGAATTCTGAAACTCCTTGACAGCACGCTACTATCGGCAAACGCACGTGTTGGTGTTTACAACGGAAAAACATCCATAAATGTACTCCAAACATCCTTTTTAACAAATCGGTAAAAAAAAATAAAAAAATAGAGATATAGAATTTTGGATGGACGTTTCGGTGCTCATGATTGTTTTATTCTTGAAACGTCAGAATTGATAGGAAGGTACTAAGGCCGGCTACCTAAAAGTGTCATTTTAGAAGATAAACAATAAAAACTGAAAACAATAAAAAGTATTGTTTCACTAAAAAAAGAAAAGGTGTTGGAGTCGTGACTGTGTAGGATAAACACTGATTACCGGCGATTTGATACGAAAAAAATAAACGCAGATTTTTATTTTTGTACCGAATAGACCGATTTTACTAAGCTGCACGCTTCGTGAAATCGGTGTATTCGCACACGCGTGGCGCCGCCATAACTATAGTTCGAAAGAGGCAGGCGGCAGTAGAAGAGAGTTTCCTCGATGCGTTCGTTACATTCTCGTTACATTCCTGAATGTAACGAGACTGGCTCGTGAGATCGGTCTACTGTATCAGACTTAGAACGCGAAAAACTAGAAGTGTTCTAGCGCGCCTCGTTTATACCAGAGTTGCCATACCGACGATTTTTGAGGCCTCGCGTTTGGGGTGCGCTTTCGTTGGACCCCGAGTTTTCTTCAAAATGACTCCTCTTGAGTTGAGAGAAAACAAAGGAAAAAGTGTCGCCCGTTCTCGCCTTAGCCGCGCGTGTAAGAACAGAGCGGACAAAAAGCGTACACGGAGTGAGAGCCAGCCGTGCCATTGTTGAGCGTCGAGCACTGTCACTCACCCACGCGCTCATTCACATCTGGGCATGCACCGGCCTACATCTTTTGTCGTTATGATTGCTCCTTGTTTCACTCTCTCCCTCTCGCCGTCGTCTGCCCTCGCATTTACTTCTCTCCCGCTATCTTCCCCTTTCTCCTATTCTCTCTTCGTTTCGCGTTCGTACGTCAAGAGTGACTCTCCTGACATCGGGCGCAAGATTCGTGACGTATATAGGCGCACAGTCCGTATCTGTGGCGACCAGCGTCGCGTTGTTTCCAAGGGACTGGGCTGGGGGCTGGAGATTAAAGCTAACGAAAGCACGCTGGGATTCTATTTTCTATGTATTTTGTCAATAAAGGCAACGTGGGCGTTATTTTGTTTACATGCCACTACTAGAAGCTCGTTACATGGCACGTAAACAGCGTCTCGGTAAGGATCATGGCCCGGGCTCTGCCCCCCCCCCCTCCCATCTCACCAAGGGGGGGGGGGGGGGGGGGGCACGAGCCCCGATGCCCCCCCCCTCGTAGTCTACGCCTACGTGCAGGCATACGGACATATGGCTGCACGCGCCCGCGCTCTCTTCCCTCTAGTGGCTGATCTTCGCAATCCGGACAATCCCGCTTCTGCCTCTTGTGCGCTCTTCCCGAAACAGGAACGTTATAACATTATTCACTCCTATCCTACCATGGCCACCGAGATCCCTCGGGATCTCGGAGGCCATGAGCCTCCAGAAATGTTTCTTGCATTTGCCGTTGGATGTCGTCTTCGTTTGGGAAATGTTCCTTGTATTGTAAATACAGCGCTGCATCGCTGTCTCGACCGTTTTTCACAGGTAATGAGTAGATTTTATTTCGGAAATAATGCAACACCCAGCGTAGTTGTAAGTGAGTTGGAAGTGTTTCAGTCTACAGACGCATGGCGCATAGTTACAAGAGATCACACCGTATTCGGTCACAGCCAAACGCAGATGTGTGAACCAGCCTTTATACCGTGCATTCGTGCACTTTTTCTAACCTGCACTTCAAAGAATAAGTACTTTTTTTTTTTTTTTTTTTTTATGGGTGTTAATGCGTTTAGACTCGAAGGTCGCACAGTCTCGCGCACCGACCCGCCAGGTCAGGCGGTTACAATGGGAGAGCACGGGACAGGCAGACGCCCCAGTTTTCGAACAAAGAGAATTTGATCGGTCTGCAACCAGAGGAGGACGACAACATTTATTAAGACGCGCGGCCGTTGATGATCGCACGCGGTTTGCACGGGGGAATAATTGCTCCCCGCTCCCAAGACCGGGTCGTCGGGGGAGGCTGGCGTGCCGATAGCAGCGATAGATAGCGAACTAATTGAGCTCGCATGAGCCCAAGTTCCGGCAGTCTTCACTGCGTTCAGGAGGGAAGGAACCACCATCGTCCGCGGCACTGGATGGAAGCTACGATTTTTTTTCTCCTATTTTCTTTAAAACACGGCCGGCGTGACGTAACACGTGGCTCGTTGTGGTCTAGCAACTACGTGGGACGCCTCCTTTGTTTTTGTCTGCACGCGCTGCTTATGTCGTTTCCACACCGGAGCCGGACATGCATATGCCCTTTGTGCGGCTGTCCCTTTTGGTCGGCCGAGACAATGCAATTGGACGGTGGCCTGTGCCGCGCACGCGCTTGCGCACTGTGCTCGCGGGCGATGAAAAGCCGGCCCGGGTGCCAGCCGTGTTCATTTGCGCAAGCGCCATCTTTGTTTCAGTATAATTAATAGAGGGGATGCCGCAATGATTGTGGCCCGTGTTCTGCCGAGTTCCGCGCGGGCGCCGCGGGAGCCCCCCGCGGGTTCTATGGGAAGCTTTGGCCGCATTGACGTGCCCGACTCACTTGCAACAAGCTGTCCCACCTTCTGCGTTTTGATTGTGGTTTTTCGCGCAATACACGCCTGTTGCGCGGTGAAGTCCCCCTAGCGTAGCTATGCAAAACCTTGGCTTCTATGCAGGGCACTGAAGTGTACAGTGAAGCTTGCCTAGCTGCATATGGACAGTCGCTGCCGACATTACGCGCACGTGGTTCCTAAGAAGTTTTTCTTTATTTTTTAATTCCTAATAATAATTGGCTTATCAATTGGTGTTTGTGGTTACGAACTCCAAGAGTTAAGGTTTGTAAAAGGCACACAGCTCAGATAGATTCAAATCGGCCGTCTCTAGGGCATACATTATTTTAGTGTTTCAGTCATGCCCAACAGTTTCTGGAAGGCCTACAGCTCACATAGAATCAAACCACCCATTTTTAGGGCAGATTTTGTTTAGCGACTCACTAGTTCCGGACAGTTTTTGGGAGGCATGCAGCAGCCTCACCCCAAATCTAACAACTCACCCTTGCTTTCTGCTATGTTTTGAGTCCTTAATGAGTTTGTGATTCACCAATGCCAAACAGTTTTCAGAGGGCCTGCAGCTCACGTCGATTCTGACTGCTCATCCTTATTGTCTTCTGCTGTGCTTTGAGGGGACAGATTTTGTTCTAAAGGGGTCAGCGATTCACCAGTGCCAGACAGTCTTTGGGAGGCCTACAGCTCACTTTGATTCAAACTGCCCGTCCTTAGAGCAGATCTTGTTTTAACGATCCACCAGTGCCAAATAGTTCACGTCGGTCCTAACCACCTGTCCTTGTTGTGTCCTGCCAGGTGGACGACCAGATGAAGCTGCTCCAGCAGTCGTGGAGTGACATGCTGATCCTGGACCACCTCCACCAGCGGCTGCACAATGGGCTGCCGGACGACACGACGCTGCCCAACGGTCAGAAGTTCAGCCTGGTGTCCCTGGCCCTGCTGGGCCTGCCCTCACTCGCCGACCAGCTCCACCACCTGGCACAGCAGCTGCAGGAGCTGCGCTTCGACGCCATCGATTATGTCTGCCTCAAGTTCCTGCTGCTCCTCAACCCAGGTGCTTTGCTGCATGCACTCGGAGAGATGCCCCCGCTGATGCATACGGCTCCTAACATGCTCCGATGCCGATGCAGACGGCTCCTAACATGCTCCAACGCTGACGCAGACGGCTCCTAACACCACCCGGCTCTCACAGTTGCGACTGCTTATGACCCAGGGCATTACAACCTTCTGTGATATCTTACGAGTAGTAGTAGTGCAATACATTTATTAAGAGGACAGAAAAACCAACATAGCTTGACTAGAGTCATCTGGCAGAGATGGGAGGTTGGATTGGGGGGCGGGGGGAAGGGAAGGGAGAGGGGGGGAAGGAAGGGTTGGATTGGGGGAGGGGGGGGGGGGGAAGGAAGGGAGAGATGATATTATATCTGTTATGTCAAGTTTGGCGACCTGACATAGTCAAGGATGATCAGCTCTCTGTGTTGTAATTATTGTCTGGGGATCACTCAGTCTGTACTGTAGGGATCGTAAATCTTGCAGGAGTTTAGAGATAGCTCCCTTTGCCTGCGGCCATGCAATCCTAGATGAGGTGTTTGCAGGTAGCCGAGATTCAATATGTTTTACAGTTTGAATCGAGGCCAAGATCGTTGTCTTCCAACGTGGATTAATGATCTTGTGATGAGAGGTCCACCACATGCCACCATCCATGTGGTGGACCTGGAACTGCAGTCCGCCAGATCAAAGGCTTTGCAGTGTTTGCGAGATCAAATGTACATACTCTCTATTAGAAATGGTCGTTTATGACATTGAAAGAAGTCTTTTGAGCCAATAGTGAAAAAAAAAGTAGGAAATATGCAGAAATCACGAGTGTTCCTTGGCTACCCAAATAAATGCGCCAGTGCTCTCTCCCATCATAAGAGGTCACAAGAGGTTTTAAGGTATTCGGTCGTGAGCAGTGGCAAGTGTGTGAGCGAGCCTTAACATGCTCTAGATTAGGGGCTCTGAAACTTTCTATCTCGAGGAATCCTCATCTCTCTTGATTGATGGCCGAGAAACCCTTTCTGGGTTCGGCATTGATAAAGACCGCAGCCTGTGGACCGCATCTTCTAGTTATGCGTTAGTGGGTGGCTCGGATTTGCCAAAGGTAGTGCTTAAAATGGGGAAACACTTTTGTAGGGGCAGGGACAGTTGTGAAAATTTAGAAGTTGGAGGATCCCCCTGGTTCGTAGGAACCAAATTTGAAAACTCGCGCTCCAGATATTGCACTGGGATGGTTGCAAAGCCCTTTGTGGCACTTGGACGAGTCGGTTTCTCTGTCTCCCAGCCAGAACCTCGTAAGACTGTCTGCCAATGCGTTTCGCTCGACTGTGGGATTGGTGCGTTGCATGCTGCTAATTGGGGTTTCCTGTTGTCACTGGATAGGTTTTGTACTTAGATCGATAATGTCATTCCAGATGATCTGAGAATACTAATTCCACACTGGGGATGAGCTCTTTGTTGGGGCTAACATATTGGTACTGCTGTGGACCAATGGCGCAGCCAATAATTTGGGGGGGGGGGGGGGGGGGGGGGTAAGCTCTACGAGTCAGTGTCGCTCTGGCTATGCTCCTGTTGTAAACAACTGCACATGTAGGTCACTATGTCAAGATCGTGCAGTTGGGGCTACTAGACACAGCTGTTGTGTCGGCTGTATTGTGCTGCTGACATATTGGGAGTTTTGCTACATTGGGAGAATAGCTTTAAGCCACTGTTCTCAGTGGTCCAAACATGAGGTGATCAAAACATTGGGGAATGCTAGAGTATAGGTTGTGATTTATAGATTGACCTAGGTCCGCATCCCCCGCTCGATTCCAGCTTCCCTGCAAAAGATTATAGGAAATTCCTTGTATTTTGTACTGTCAAACTCTGCACCTATTATTCTAATATGCGTTACAGGCTTAATTTCTTTATTGTGTGGCCTTGTCTGCATCACATTAATTGTTGCCGAATATGAGTAGGCATGGCTTTACGAAACGCTTGAGCCCAGATCCCACTGTTTTTGCCGCTTACTTGCCGTAATACTAAGCAGTGAAGCCTTCCGAAGAAAATGCCCAGCAGAGAAGGGGTATGGTATACATGCATTTTCTTCTCAATTGAAAAAGCTCTGGCTTTGACTGTTCAACCATTTGTTTTCTAGATTATTGCACAGCAAGTATACTTTGTTCAAGGCTGCCACAAGATACTGTCACCTGAAAGTTGTCACTTGAAGGTGACAACTTTCCGGTGACACCATGAGCAGTCACACACTCGTGACTGCTCACAATTGGCTCTGCTGCAGCACAGCCAGTTGTCAGCAGTCATGAGTGTGTGAACTAGCCTTTGTTAAGTCCACTTGCTTTTGCAATTAATTTTTATTTGATCGTTATACCGTTTACACACTAGCGTAAAGTAGATAGAACTGTGCCTTGCTGTAGTTGCTTTGTTATAGACATTAATAGTCTTCATGAATTTCACATCCAAGTGGCTGTATATGATTTACCTAGCCTGCAGACTTTGTGGCTTTTACCAAGAAAACTAGCAAGCATTTGTGGGTGGCAAATGCTTCTCAGCATTTTTGTCAAGAAGCTCTCACAGATTGAAATGCATTCAGGATTTTATAAATAGGAGGGAAAGCAACATTGGTGATGATAATAATAGGGATTGTGGTGATGGGAACAATAATAATTCATAATGTTGTTATATGCCAAGAAATCATTTTTATAATTTTTGAAACAAGAAAGGTTTTTCCACTTTGTAGTTCTTTTATTGATAGCTGCATCTCTCGAAGAGACAATTCTATTCTGGATTTCATTGAAGGTATGTTTAGGTTTCAGTCACTTAGCACACACGGTATCCCACTTATTTTTTGTGCCGCCGTCAAGTTCAAAAGGACCACTTCACCCCTAAAGAAATTGAGCTTAACAGCAAACAGGCTCGCCGTTAACTTCACACTTTTGCACGGATATCAGTACTACTTCTATTCAACTTTGTAGAAAATTGAACGAAATGTTTGAGACGTCCCAGTTCTTGGCTCACGAGCGCAGTCAGCTTTGATGTTTTGGGTGGCGACCATCAGTGTGCCCTGATCTTCCATTTCTCAGAAGTAGAGCCCCTAAATGAGCTATGCTTCAGAGTAACGGGCCAATTGTTTGCATAGAATCATAGAATCAATGTTGTCAGCTGTTACCCAGCCTCGGCCGTGACGGAAAATGCAAGAAGCGCTTTCCGTCAACCTGCTCGCTAAAATAGTTCACGATGGAGTGAAGTGATGCTGCTACAATCTCCCGACAGCCTGTGTACCGCTCAAAAAGTATAATTTCAGAGCCATACCTGGTGCAGGTGCCAAACCATACCTGGTGCAGGTGCCACCGTGTGGTTTTAGGGAACACCCACATACCGCTGGCACATAGAACAAACATCTCGTGACACGGACGGATGAATGGCTGCTATGTAGCAGCATCGAGTGTATGGTACCTTTTTAGCGACCATGTTGGGAGGTGCCACAGCGGCTGAAGCCCGCGGGTGAGAATTGTCTGGGAATTGTCAGGAAAGTTTTAATTACTGGGAAAAATCAGGGAAATTGTCAAGGATATTGTCAAAAGGCAAGCTCAGTTCGGGAAAATGAGCCGGTCAAAAGGCAAGCTCATTCAGGGAAAATTAGGCAAGACTTAAGGATGGGGGGGCAGAAATATAGGCAATGAATTCTGCTTACAGCGGAGTGCAGCTCTGCTTACCCGATGTAGAGTGTGCTACCTGATGCAAAGGGAACAGCCAAAAGATCCAGTCCACACCTGGGATTGGATTGGATTGGATTGGATTGGACTGGACTGGACTGGACTGGACTGGACTGGACTGAGAGCGCGACACTAGGCTAGGTTCAGTTAGAGCTACTAGATATAGTTACAAACAGGAAAGCCGTAGACCCCAATCCAATCCAAGTCCTAAGCCGAAAGTATCCGAAAGTGCATCTCGCGGCCATTTTGCCATTCGGTTATTGATGTGTGTGGTTGAGCGTCATGTTTTCATCATGTTTCCGGAAGTGACCTCTTCACGCGGCAAAGAAAGCGCTGGTTTAATCCGGACTGGACGAACCCGAATATTTCAGAATGTGCAAGTTAGATTAAGCCTGTGCAAAATGATCCTCACTGTGCTCAATGCTCAATGCCTTGTGTTGTAATGGTCTTATATATTTAATCACCTCTAAAGTGGTCAAGGAATTTAACCTGAAATTGTAAGGGAAAACCTGGAAAAGTCAGGGAATTTCAAAAGAGTAATTTGCTAGACACCCTGAGCCTAGATCTCAAGTGCTGCTGCTGGCACGTGTGCCACGTCTCCTTCTTTTCATGATGGCTGCTCGGACCTCCAACGACAATGCGATGGTGTACACGGAGCAGAGGTGCGGACACTGGGCAATGTTCGGCTCGTTCACGAAGCCCAGGAGCAGACGAAGCAGGTGCACCTGGAGTACTGCCTCAACAACTACCCTCAAATGACGGTGGGTTTGCCTGCTTTAACCAGAACAGAGAACAACTACCCCCCCCCCCCCCCCCTCTCCCTCTAAAAGAAAAAAAATAAGAGATTTTTGTTTTTGGTTGGAACCCATACTGTCGCACATAAACTTCCACAGAAGGGGAATGTCACATATATCATAATGTGTCGCATATGAACACACGTCACATAAACAACTTTCACAAATTTCACGAAATGCCTTGCTAAGTAGTGGGACACGTGTCTGAATGTGTATGGCAACTCCTTCTAAGAACCTTGGGGTATTGTTGCTTTTTTTTTTTTTTTTTTGTATATTGCTTTGTTCAACTTTGCCCCACTTTTTGATGTACATTTTCGACCGATTTATTTAAGGCGCAGGAATGGGTTAAATTTCATTACACCTTGCAGATGTTTTGTGTCTTTTTTTTTTTTAATTATTATAAAACATGAACAATCTGAAAGGACAAAAGCATATTTCCCCACATTTCAATCTTCACATAGCTTACCAGTGGACAACACTGATTGTTTGTGATAGGTCAGTTTGACTTTACAGAAATTTTCTTTGAAGCTGACTCATCACTAATATGTACCAACTAGCTCTGCTAAATAAAGCCTGTAACTAATTATTTGCTTGACAATGAGCAAGTGGTAGTCATGGTGCAGCAATCATGGTTGACTACTGTGGATGCATGGTATTCTCTTATCTCTATTCACATACAAATAGTGAATTTTGAGTTCAAAGCAAATAGTGGTTTTAGCCAACGATTTTCAAATTGAATAGTTTCTCCAAGCCTTTCCATACTGTTGCACCATGCTTAAACAAAAACGTAGCTGAACTCATGAAGGTTGTTATGAAGCTTTTCCTTGTCCATTGCTGAGCTAAGTTAATTTTAATCTGATTATATTTCTGAACTGTGGACTTGGAAAGTTTACTGCTTACATTGTGATGGCAAGGAAACAGCAGATTGAGCGTAGAACAAAACCTAAATAAATAAAAGGAATCTCCAATAAGGAGTGCAAGTTGTCAGGGCACCTTTGCCTAACCTGTACTCTTGCATCATAGCCATAGTCTAATTTTGAAAAGTTTACTGCAATGCAGGCATCAACATTCACAAAGTTTCTGCTTTGTTTTAAGGGGGGACATGGCCTCGGAATTCAAAATTTTCAGAAAAAAACTTTTTTTCAAAAATGATATGTTTATGCTTATTAACTTCCAAATAATGGTTTCAGAAACTGTCGTTTATTAACATGCAGGATTTATCTCAGAACAAATTATTTTCGACATGTCAGCAGCCCTCCAAGTCAGCAGGGAGCAAGTTTTCTGCGTTTTTTATTTAGCGCTGCTTCATACTCGTTTAACCTAGCCAGAACATCTCACCCTCATTGGAAGTGCCATTTACTCTAGACTTAGCCCTTAGAGGCTTTCGAAGTTTACAAGTATTAATGGCCAGGAGGACCTAATACATCCAAACAGAAAAAATTTTGAAAATTTGTTATGAGCAATCTTATTGGTTGAGATCTGAAACAGGGTTTACGATTGGTCCTTCCCGGTGACGTGATATTCTGTCATCTTCAATAACGCCCCTTTACAGTATCTTCCACTTCAGATCCTATTCCTGCCTTGCTGCTCTTCCTCAGTGTGATTTGCCTCTTAGTTCTTGCCAGTTTATCTGTCAGGGAATGCCTGCTACGAAAGTCAGCGTGCCTGCCTACGAACAACACAAACTGGTAGCTATTGCCAGGGGAGCAGGGGAGTCTCCAAGAGGAAGGTTCTAACAATGCGCCAGGTGAATGTTACCTACCTCAGACCCACAGAAAAGAAAGAAACCTAAAGTTGAAACTTCAAATGCATTTTTCTCAGTTTCACTTTTTGGCAGGAAATGTGGTATGAGGAAATGTATCATTGGTCATTTTGTAAGTGTAAAGATTTCATTCAGTGGTGTCCTTGACTGAAATTTCGTGAGGAACAAGTTAAGGTATTCATAATCTGAAAAAGCTAAATTCTTCATGACAGAAACTGAATATTTTAAAACTCAGAAATTTGTTAAAATTGTTTACTCTTTTTGAGTGTTATTGTTTTTCTCTAGAACTGCATTTTCTACAATTAATTTTTACCTTAAGTTGTACTATGGGTATTCTACTTTACATTAAAGCAAACATTTTGTGGATTGCAATTATTATTTTTCTTAAATACATTTCCTAATAAAGCAACTTTTTTCTGGAGCTTGTTAAGCATAATATGTTGTAGAATTGGCCTATAAGACAAACTTTAGATGTCATCCATCCTAATGAGATTCAATTCACCCCGAAAGTTTGAATCAATTTGAGACAATGGATCAAAAGTTGACGCTCCCAGGCCATGTCCCCCCTTAAGTACACCAGGTGCGCACGTGCACCATTGCTTTCAAAAGGTGCTTTTCTCCTAAGCATGAAACTGCAATATTTGTATTCTTTGAAATGTTGATTGTGGAGGGTTAGCCCCGTTGAGCATGCTTTTTACCAAGCGCCGGTGCACCGAGGAGAAGCCACAACCACGGAGCTCGCTTCTGCAGGTGTGTCTTTTCCGCAGTGTATCCATGCTTGGTAAGAAGCGCGCTCAACAGGGCTTATCCCACCACTATCATCACTTCGGAAAATATGCATAACACAGTTCAACTTGAAGCGAATATTGAATGTAGTATTATTAAAAACGTATATTCAAATATTTGCCCATCACTACATATCTCTAATCATTTCTCTTTCGTTGTATTTATGAGTTTCACATTGTGGTATATTTCATGAGATCTATTTATCCGAACATGTAATGCCCATGCCCCATACGGAGTAAATAAAGAGTACTGTATTTTTCAGGCTGTAGTTTGCACCCGGTCTATATATATATATATAGTCTGCAAAAACCAATTTCTGCTTGAAAAAAAATATATTTTTTTTTCCCTTGAGATATTTTGCATTTGGTGCATATCCCGTATGCAGTGCATAGTCTACTTAGTGCCTAATACGAACGTAAAAATTATCATGCAAAGCACATCTTGACAAATGCCTGTTGTATTACCTCAAGAAAAAAAGCTTGTATCATACATAAACCACCACTATATACTCTGTTATTCATAAAATTCTTCATGTCTTGTGTGGAGGAGGACGGGACAGAGGGAGGAGGAAGAGAGGAGGGAGGAGGCAAGGAACAGGGGAGGAGTAGAGGCATACCGTCCCCTTCGTACCTTCCCCTTCTTCTCCTCAAGAGCTGCGCTCTAATTCGGCACCACAGGCAGTTGTAAACGTCCTTAATTTGACCCGCCCACTCACTGCGCCACCCGCAGGACAAGTTTGGCCAGCTGTACCAGATGCTGCCGAGCCTGAAGCTGATCAGCACCCGTGGGGAGGAGTACCTCTTCTACAAGCACATGAGCGGCAGCGCTCCCTCGCAGACACTGCTCATGGAGATGCTCCACGCCAAGAAGAAATAGCATCCGGCACCTCCGCTCACCCCCACCACCACCGCCGCCGCTGCCGTGGCCGCGGCCACCGTGGCACCACCTGCCCCCGTCGCGCCGCTTCCTGCCGGTCCGAAGAAGAAGGGCCCCCTCGACCGAAACCTCGTTCGCTCCGCGTCCGTCTGAAACACAAGAGCGCGTCTCTCCTCTTCCGTTATTTCCGTCTTCTTTCGTTTCTTTCCACCGTCTCCGTCGTCACCTCTTCGTGCCCTCTTGAGGAGGCAGCGCCGTCCTTGTCCCTACGGACGAAAGGCGGCGCTGCCGCGGAGTTTTGCGGATGACATTTTCTCTTGGGAAAAGGAGCAGAAAAGAGGAGTGAGAAGGAGAGAGAGAGATGATGGCCCATTCCCTCGCCACCCATCTATTTCCCCCCGGCTTTGGCTCGAGCCTGACTCGGCTCAACTTCTTTGCTTGGCTTTTAGCTGCCTAAAAGTGCGCCCGCAACCTCTTTTTTGCAGCAAAGGGAAAGAGGAGGAGTCGAAGGGGGAAATATTGAATCGTGTCCAGAGGTAGATATACATAGGGTATATAAATATATCTATATATATATATTATATGTACGTACACATGCAGATACACGACACACGGGTTCGCATATGTGATATACGTGTGAGTGCATCGCAGAGGCGGGCTGCGTGGGCAGGCGTGACAAGAGTGCGGGATACATATTATATATATATATATATATACATACATACTTGTATAGACACATGTTTGGAAGTTGCAAGTACGGCGTGTGAAAGGGCTCCCTTTGTTTGTCTCACTTGTGTATTGTCTTTCTTGAGTACTTTGTTTCGGGACGACCTTAGGGAAGTAGAGGGAGATGGTGAGAGAGACAGGGCATTTCTTTTGAGGCCCCTCCAAGGTAGCTACAGGATTGAGAGTGAGCAGTGCCCCAGTAACAAACAACGCTTTGCCATCAAGCACGCCGCAGTAGTCGGATAGGCAGTATGTTTGTTGCTAGGGGCAGACTCCTCACTTCGCTGTCTCCTTTCTTCTGTTGGGTCTTTTCCTTCGAAGTGACTACGTCGTCGTAGCGTGCTCGTCGCTGGGCCAGCGTTGATGTTGTATAACGAGAGAATGGGAAGTGTACACTTTCTCCTTCCTTCACGAGGCTAAATGGACTCAGGGAAGAGAAAAAAAAAATATCTGTTCGTAAGAGAATTTGTAGAGTGCCTGTTGCCGCTTGTTCGCTGTCTAGATTTTCCTCTTTTCCGTCGGCCATGCCTCTGGTTTCTGTGAAAGATGCTTTTGGTCTTTTTCTATTTTTTGTCGCTGACTGTCATTTTTCTCGTTTTCGTTCTTGCGCTTTTTGGGAAAAGATGCTATGCTAGTCCCTCTTTATTAGGGACTTTTTCTTTTCATCCCCGCAAATACGATTGTTTTTTTTCCTTCTCCAACATGTTGCGCCATTTCATAGTCACCGAACCAATCTTTTTTTTGTGCATGTCGTCATCACTTGTTATTGTTGTTGTTGTTAGATTTCATTGTTGTTAGCGATTGATTGCTGCACACAAAGAGAGAGAGAGAGAGAGCGAGAGAAAAAAAGAAAAAGCCAGATAGGTTGTGAGACTGTAACAAAGGAGGATGCCCGGGAGGTTTTCCGTCATCTTCGAAGTTGGCCGCACATTCTCTTTTTTCGGGTGCGCGGACGTGTGTTTGATTTTGCTGAAAGTTTTGCGAGAAGTGAAAGTGGCACCTTTTTGGCAGGCACTACCAGGGATGCCCGCCGTTCGTTGCATAGCTTTTTTGTTTTTAGTTGTTTAACCTTTCCACCGATGCAAAACATGGAATGCCATAGCCGCCTCCGTCGCCCCATACTTCGGTTTTCTGTTTTTACTTTCCGTTTGTGTTGACAGGTCGTTTTTACTTTCTTTGTTATGATGGTAATATTTATGACACCTTTCATCTTTTCCTCCGCGACATTCTGCCTCAGCATTGTCGGAAGCATGGGGGGGCCGCTCCACCGAAGAAGGAAGGGCACGCCCCCTTTTCTTTTCCGCACGAGTTTCATCCATCAAATGCGGCCCCACACCTCACAACGATTATCCACCCCAGGAACTTCATAGTTTGCAACCCATCGGTGCGATCGGAAGGAGTGCACGCAGCGGGTAGACAAAGCAGCTCAAATGTGTTTAGCCATCATTTTAGTTTTTTTTTTTTTTTAGCAAAGCTGGTTTTTTTGCAACCAGCGGTGTACCTGTAAATAAGCCACCGTCTTGCATTAAGGATGAACGCCGTCGGATTTGTTTCCTTTCTTCCCTTCGTGCGGGTAGAAAGAAATACTTTCGGTTTACTTTCTGCTTTTATTTTTTTGTTTGTTTGTTTCGAGCGGCTCTAGTTCCTCTTCTGTGGTGTAAAGAACAACGCTTGCTTGTGTGAAACCATGTTGTACGAATATTTGGCCCCTGTGAAAGTTCCACATAACGATTTTTATTCAATACTGGGCTCTTGTTCCTGTGCAATACTTTTTTTTTTTTATAACCAGATTACTGGTCACCGAGTAATAGTGTTCCAAAAAGAATGCCTGGTGGTATCTGTCTGCACATGAAGTCATATTTTGCACAGCTTTCCTTTTCTTGGGCACAGCTTTCCATCGGTGTTTTTCGGTTCACATGTTTTCTGTCCAATGAAACCAGTGCGTGGAGGCTTTAGTTTTCACATTTATTGAGCCCATTTTTGATAGACCGGCAGATCTTCACAACTTTTCAACAAATTTCTCAAAGTTCAGGAGCCTAATTCCACTTGTCATATGCAGCAAAAAGAGAACACTGAACATACTACACTCAAATCATTTGCAACCATATGAAAAAAAGAAAAAAAGTTTGTATTGAAACATTGTCATTATTGGTTCCACGGTATCTCGAGCGAGAGTTGCAGTTCATGCAAACGAAGCGAGTAAAAGAAAAAGTTTGTTAGAGTTTGATTGTCTTCATTGAATTTACACTGCCAACAACGCAAGCGTGACAGGAACAACGTATGTCTGTGTTTGTTGAATGACTGGAAATCGTGCATTGCTCCTTGGATGTTGGAAAACGTTCTTCGCCACACTTTGGCATCTCTCTTCGGAAGGGAAAGACTCGGCACGTCGCAAGCCCTCGTCTGCTTTACAGCCGTGACCGCGTTATCATCCTGCCACGTTGAAGCACATTGTAGCAAATGGGAAAATGAGTGACACAAGCAAGCAGTCTCGCCGTGTCCGCCCATCGCGAGCCTATTCCTCTCTCCTTCTTTTCAGTTTAAATTGTTTGAGAGAAACCTTGTTAAGTAAACTGATAATGTCAGGAAAAACTGGGATCTATTACTGCCGGACGGAGTAGTCTAGTTAAGAAGCGCACAACTTATGTTAGCATTAGCTTGTTTTCGTCGTTTTCAATGTGAATGATTTATTGCTTCTTTCGCACATGAAAAGTGAAACGTCGGATGTGGTTATTTGAAAATGCAGTGCAACCGTTTCTTTGTTGTTTTGTTGGCGGTCTGCCAACGTTTGTCGTTCACAGCCAGCGGTGCTGTCGAGAGAAAACTGCACATGGGTGACATAAAATGGGAGAATGAAAAGCAGACGACACAGAGGACAGACAGTCGGTGAAATGTGCCTTATGTATACCACGGTGAAATGATACACGGCTAAAGTTGAGACAAAGATGTAAATTTAAGACTATAGGAAAGCTTCCCCGTATAGCTGTTCTAAGCGAGAGAAAAAATAAAAACAAATACAGTTATTTTTTAAGGTTTACGTCGCTTCCTTTTCTTCCCCGAAAAGCCCCCCTCCTTTCCTCCATGTATATCGCCTGTTACAGAGATCACCACTAGTCAGCAATAAGTGAATCAATATAAGAGTTATTCCTCCAGTTTATCTGTTCCCGCGTATTGTCGTTTCCGACGAAGCAATTTTTTCGGTTCGCCAAGTGTTGCCGTTCTTTGACGGAGCGAGCGTCATAGCAAAGCGCAACTTGAAGGCTTGGCCGTGGACTTGTCTGCAGAGCTTCTGTTATAGCCACGATGACAGGGCTAGGCTTGTGGACACCGAGGTGGCAAGCATGTTCAGCTTTGCACTCCATGCCCACAAGCATCACATCGCTGTCGCTTGTAAAAGTGACGCTCTTTGAAACTGAAATGGAAGCATCTCTTCCACCCAAACAACTAAAAAGTTAAAAATCCCACTGACGAGAAACATTAATTGGTAAAACAACTTAGTGGCAAGTGAGAAATGCACTTTCATCTCTGGTTTGTTATGGAGCAGGTTTGGCCAATGCACACAGGTTTGATCTATTGGTTAGACACACAGGCATCCAAAGCTAAAGATGGTTCACGGCCAGGCTGCCCCAGTGAAGTAGAGCGACCGAACCATGCTTGGCTGGCCATTGAAGGAACTACCACTTTACTCCTGTACTGTGTTGTTACCCCATTTTGAGAAGAAGAAAAAAAAAGTATGTGTATATGCATATTCCATAACATATTCTATGTACATGCCGATCTCAGATGAAAGAAAAAAAAAAAATAACCGTCTTGTTGTGCATGTAATCTCATCTTTTGCGCTCTTCTTTTTTTATGCACCCCTTTTTTTTCTTTCTTTCTCTCGCTTGTTGTTATTCATTGAATGTCTACTGCGCTTGCGCAAAGATGCACCGCTATTTTCGAACGAAACACCAACTCCTCGTGGTTATCAACACATTACATGCGGTTTTTACACTAAAATGTGAACCAAGGTAAAGTAAAAAAAAAAAAAATATTGACCGTTGGAACTTGTGTTTTAACACTGCCTTTTTGTATTTTACACCACCAAGGAAAAAAAGGAAGACAACTTGTACATTTCATTGTGGGCTTGGTACGCATTGTTATGTTTGTGGTTTCTTTTTTCTCCTTTCATTGATGCAAAAGGGGTTAAAAATAGAGAAGAGACCAATTGAAACGCTGCTTCTCTGAAGAAAAGTTTGTACGAGGAATCTTCACCCACTGTTGGATTGTGTAAATAAATTGTTGATATTTGATGCTGCTTGTGTTACTGCTTGGGAATGGCACTGTCCAATGGTACCATTCTGGACTGTGCTAGGCTCTAGAATGGCGTGCAGTATAAACATGTTACAATTAACCAAGATCATGACAAAATGGCAAGTTAATGTTGCAAGACAAACACACTGGGTTAAGAATAGCTGCACAAGGAAAATCAATAAGATATTTGGGCATAAGGAAAATCGATAAGATATTAGTTCGCCAGCTCGTCTTTAGTTGGCCACAAAAGAGGACATGTACGGTCAGCCTGTAACATGAGACAAGTTTGTTCCAACTGCTTCTCTGGCCAGTTACACACAGGCTTTGAAACAAGGTAAGAATTGGAACAATATGAATCGTCACTTGTGTGCAATAAGAAAAGTTGACAGCCTTATTGCCACTTTGGGCCTAACAAGGAAAGTGTACATGGGAGACAAAGCATCCAGTCAATTGGCCTAGTTCCCCACTGCCAGCATCAAGGTCCTACAGGAAATTTCGCCACACAAAGGAAACACTAATCTTGTGGATAAACATAAAAATACCTAGCATATCAAAAACACGGGGGCAAGAAAGCAGACAAGCATCTCTGCGTCGTCCTTTAGGAAACCCTACTCTGGGATAAAGTCATGTTTCACTTTCACCTGCGCAAGATTTATATGTTCCATTGGAACATATAAATCGTGTGGTCAAGAGCTCCGAGGGACTGCTGCAAATAAAATTGGAACTTTCTTTTGGGCTGACTGCTAGTCTTAAGCGCTAACAAAAAGATAGTACTACCAGGTACTACTACCGAGAGTATATTTCAGCTCAAAAAACATAAAATTAGGCTTCTTTCTCAGTACCTGCCATACTTTAAAATTACTGGATTAACACATGAATGGCAACCATTAAAAAGGTGGAAACAAAATTCTAGCACTCATGTTGCAGCATAATCTCAAAATACCAGTCGTTCGTTGAAAGGCACTAGAAAACTAATATTAAAGCTAATTAAACAATCAATGTGCATGTGGAGCCTATTTGGGAGGTAATCTAGCAACTCCTGGATACATGTGGAGCCTATTTGGGAGGTAATCTAGCAACGTTGGGGAACTTGCTACGTAGTCATGACATAGCAAGTTCCAGCGGAGCAGCTTTGCTCTTTGGAATTCAACATTTTCCCTCAGCTTTCCTCCTCAATTTACAAATTGCGCATTATACCAAACAGTTCAAGAAGAAGGAGAGACTCCCCTCTTGCCTGGACCCTCGTTTGTGTACCCGGACACAGCCATTCTCCCCCTAGAAAATTAGCCCGTGACTCAAAATTTGGACAAAAGTTGCTTCTCCCACCCCATTCTCCCCTAAGCTGACAGTGCTGTGGAAGCTACGTGGTCCTTGGGCCAGCCACACGCTCTTCACCACACGGCTACTTCGAACGGCTCAGTTGTAGCGCGTTGGCGCTATTGATACCACCACAACGCTGACAACGCCACCAACGGCAAAGCTCATAACCATGCCAGCCTTTCTACGTCACGAATGCGGGGAATCTTTTTTTACAGCGGAGCTGCTAGGGGCTAGTTTCCCCAGGATCGTGTCCCCCGCAAAGAAACGTTGACACAAAAGTCTGGACAGCTACCGCCATCTATGAGTGACGGCGGCAACCAGACAATCGGCTTGCCGGCCTTGCTCATAGATGCGACAACCTTCCCAGCATTTCCACTCTGGTTTTCACCAAAGTGGAAAGGCTGAATTTCTCTAGGTGTCGTCTTAGATGTCCTCCTCGAGGTCCTCCTAAACGTCGTCAGAGAGGTCCTCAAGATCGTCCTAGAAGTTGTCTTTGAGGTCGTCCTAGACGTCGACCTTGAGGTTGTCCTTGATGTCGTCCGACAGGTTGTCTTCGAGGTCGTCCTAGAAGTCATTCTTGAGGCCGTCCTAGACGTCGTCCTCGAGGTCGTCCTAGGAGTTGTCCTAGACATTGTCTTTAAAATCGTCTTAGGAGTCGTCCTAGACGTCCTTGAGGTCGTCCTAAGCGTCGTCCTTGAGGTCATTTAGATGTCATCCCCTAGGAGTCGTCCTCCAGGTCATCTTAGAAGTCGTCCTTGAGGTCGTCCTAGACATCGTCCTTGAGGTCGTCTGACCATAGTACAGCTTCGCTGGTCTTCCTTCTTTACCAGAGTGGAAAGGCTAAAAGTTTTTTTTTTTTTTTTTTTTGGGCCAGATATTCCATGACGCATCGCGCTCTCCGTTCGCTTCTCTTCGAGCGCTTGCTTGAGTGCACCGTTTGGAACGAAAAATATAGCCAGTCGTTGCAAATACAAACGTGCGATTATCATTTACGGTTATTATCCGTCATCCTTGACTCATTTCGAATGAAATTTGAATAATTCAATTTTCGTTTGCGTACCCCTTTATACTTTCTATAAACAAGACGGAGCAGGTGAATGAAAGCCCTTAACACACTTTCAGTTAAAGGGACTTTGGCCAATTAACTGCAGAAATTAATGCGTCACCCATGAAACGAAGAACAGAAAACCGTATTTCCTTGCTAGCGCGGGTCCATGTCACAAGAGCGAATGACATTTTAGCGAACGGCGACATTTGAGCGAATAGTCGTTTTAGCGAATAACGGGGGCGCGCGTTAACCCATCCGTCGCGCTGCGCTTTACGCCGCTTCGCGGCGACAGTCTACGGCAACTCATTACAAAAATATGAACTCACTTGGCCCACCCGAAAACGCCGCTTCGCGGCGTCCGACTATTCGCTAAAGTGTCGTTCGATGAAACGTGGGCGTTCGCTAAAACGTCATTCGATCAAGTGAGTGCCTCCTTTGGGTCGACATACTCTGGGGGGATCACGTGGTTTCGTTCTCTCTTCCGAGACCTCAGCCACCTCCTCTGCGATTATTGACTTTTAAAGGATTAGCATCGTCGAAGGTCGCGGCGAGCGATCAACATAAAAGGCGGTTCACCACGGGGGTGACGGCGAGTGTAGCAGCGGAGGGGGACAGGTTTTGTTCACTTCTGCGTATCCCCCAGAGTACATATCACACATCAGTTCCGTTAACCACAACAAGCGGCTGCGGATCGTCAAATATTTCGTTTTCTTCTTTGCGATTAGGCACCGGAATAGCAGTTTTTTGGGGCAAGGTGACGCGTTTTTGGTCACTTGTGCTTGGATAAACAATATAAAAAAAATACAAATTGCCAATTCTTTCAACACTAAAATCGTTGCACTACCCCTTTAACTGTGTCCTTATCTTCCAGCACTTTAAGTTTGCAAAAATGTTTGAGGTGAAAACGAGGGTGTCATGCATTATGAACATCAGTGATTTTTTGTTTTGGGCATACTTTCCTGCAGTGCAGACGTGCACTGGAGAAAAAAAAATCACAAGGTGGGGTGGTTGGTGCACACCCACTCTGCGAGAACTTTCTGGTTTCTCTGTTCACTGACCTCAGCAACTTCGGTGTGGAACATGAACAGCTTCCTTGGCACTTTTTTTTTTTTTTTTTTTATCATATGGGACCTAGTGTAACCTTAACTATCACAAAGCTGCCCATACTTTCCTACTGTTTTCCTGCTAAATGCCATGTAGACTGTCGGATTTTATTTATCACCCCCGACAAAGCCACCGTTTATTCTATAAAAGTACAACTCCGATACGTAAAATTAGTAAAAAAAATTCCTAAGTCAAATAACAAAGCACAAGACAGCAAAAGTGCAGCACCATGTTTAGGAAATGTTACCTTCCTCTTCAGCCTTCTTCTTCACATAGTTGAAGAGACAGCATGCTATGTTATGTCAACATTGATTTTGCCCTTTGCCTATTAAGGCTGAATAGTTGACAATGGTGATGGTGTACACTTGACAGTGGTCGGAGGGGGGAGTAGTGATTTATACCCCAAAAGGATGCAAACGGAAGGTACAGCCCCTCTACCCAGGGACACCACAGACATTTTTAGTCCCCCTTTCCCATTCAAACTGACAGCATGGCCAGGCTCAATCAGATTCAATGTGAAGTGTAGCACCTAGTAGAATCAGTGCGCACAACAGCATTTGGTCACTGATGCTCTTAGGAACACTGGAAAGAAGCTACTAACTGGAAAAAGGGGGCAGATTTATTTCTGAGGTAAAGCCAACCTTGGGGCTAGGACATTAGGTGCACCAATGTGCTTGGTAGCACTTAATATCACCAATATGCACAACTGAACTTTCGCTCATTGGTGTCCTTGGAAACACTGCAGATGCTGAAAGTCTGGGAAGTGTATCCAGAAAAGCTTGTAGAACAAGTCATTGGGCCAATTTCGCCACTCTGATTGGTACATTTTCATGAACTACACATTGCCTGGTTTATGGGCAGAGAAAGGTGTAGGGGGAGGCGAGGATTAGCAAAATTAAACTGGGAATTTCAAAGAATGAAAACTAACAAAAATATACTCTGATAAAAGGAAGAGGCACAGAAGAGACGGTACTGCATGCACAATATGGAAGCTAATCAAAAGCAGTCCAGGCACTTCAGAAATCACATGATGGCACATTGTACTGCAAAACCTGCCATTAGGATGATTCCTTCGAAATTTCCGAAAGCAGATCCAAGTCGGCGATCTAATTTGCCATCTATGTACGCTTTGTCTGGAGTTGCAGTAGAGGTACCAGGATCAAGCGTGACAGTAGCTGTCTTACCGCTACCGTTGTAGAGCACCAAATAAGTTGCAGTAGTAAAATCTTGACTCCTTCCAACTTAGACACCGCCTTCGCTGCAAAAACTTTTCCACGTTTTCGGAGTTTATTTTTCGTCAAATTCGGAGGGTGTGTCTCGGAGTTTATTTATGTATGAGTCCTATTTTTTCTGAAATTTCTAGCTAAATTTTGCGGTGTTTTCATTTTTCAAAAATAAAAATAAATAATATCCGGGTGTAATTGTGTGCGAGATTCAAAGAACGCGCTTGTATCAGTTAATGTTTCTTCAGCTGGATTCGGTGTTGGTGCCATTTCCATTGGCAATACTAATTTTCCCCATGACAAAAGTTGCAAACAAGTGTTGCATCGACAAATGTTCATTTCTTAAAAGGGAGGCTGAGCAGATTAAAAATTTTAACCCGATTAATTGCCACCCTTTAGTCTTCAGCTGCATGAGGCAAAGATGTTCATTGATATTTTCCGGCAGGAGCGGCCTCCTTTGATTGTTCAGAATAGTCTCTGCTGCGCTAAACAAACACTCGCTCGCAGGGGCAGATCCAAGGGGGCGGCGATGGGGGCAGCCGCCCCCTCCCAAACAAAGTCGACCCCCCCCCTCCCCGGAGGGCAATTTGCCATTGGTGGACCCCCGGTGCACAAGAAAAAATGGGAGAATAGTATCCTTACAAATTCCCCCCCCCCCCCCCTCCCCCCCTCAAATGGAGTTCCGGATCTGCCCCTGCTCGCTCGGCATTGAAATGGCTGGGACACGTGCAACCTTCTGCAATTGTCTGGAGTTAAAAATCTCACCCTTACAGTTTTCAATTGAAATGTCACCTAAACTTTGCCCTTCATATACTAGGTAGGTGTACTCGTCCATGTCTACGTGGTGAAAGTATTTAATTTTTACTTTTCTTGGTTCGTCGAAATTTCAGAGTAAACAGGAAAAAAGAAATTCTCAACTAAAACAATAATTGGTAGGTTAATCAATGAATTTCCCAGCCCTACTTAAACTAATAAACTTCTGGAGGTAGTAGCTGGGAAGCTTGTATTCATCCCATCCTACCCATCAGCCTACCTCGCACCTGTGCGGCATGGTAAAGCTTCAACTGCCTGCCCCTTCAATGAGATCTCTATGGTTCACCGCTTTCACTGTTACAAAAACACAAAACTCCTTCCTCTAAGAAGCACAAATAGTAAGGCCCAAAATGGAAACCGGAGCAGTGGTCTTTGTCATGACCTGAGAGTACAATGACCTGTCGTTCTGAATGCACCTTGACGAGATAAACAGCAAGATCCCTTCTGTCATGGTCCGAGATTTTACAGAAAAATGGGGCAGCATTTTCTCAGGACCATTCACCCTGTGTACTAACCAAACTTAAAATAGTCTTTTTTTTTTCTGGCATTGGGTACGTCAACTTTTAAGGTTTATTGAATAAATCCAAATTGACAAAAAGTTTTACAGGTGGATGTTTTTCGGATTTATCTGGAAACACAGAACGCTACCTAAAATTAACCAAAATGCAAAAAAAAGTGTTAACATGATTTTAGGAGAGAAGATGAAAACGTTGAATAGAATGTACAGTGCTCAACAAAACTAAATGGACCAGCGCAGTGTGTGGCCTGGCGAATATACTTACATTGGAGATTCTTCGAGCAACTAGGTGGTGGAGCCATATGATTACTCTAGAGTCAGGTAACTGCTTATGGCAGCCATGTACGCCAGCGTAACTGTATATGCTCCTAAAGCTGAACATACACAGTTATTCTGGCGAGGCCACGCGCTGTCCTGGTTCATTTTGTTTCGTCGAGCACAGTATGTCCAAACCAGAGTCACCAATGCTACCAGCAATTTCTGAAGCTTTTACATTCTTTATTACTTGGTTTACTAGCCACACATACACTATTTTGCACATATAACACCCCATACATACAAATCAATCGTACAGATATATGTCACATTAAAAATAATTCGGTAGAATAAGAAGAGGTGAAATGTTGTCAGATATGATAAAATTCTAAAAGCAAATTGGCAGCTTCAGCTAAGTGTTTTCCAGCCCCTTTTCATAACCATGTTCAGACTGCCAGGCACAGTCAAATTTGACAAGATCGCAAATAAACGGCTGCATTTACTTCGACAACTCTGAGCTTTGGTCACTTATGGGCTGCCAAGCTTCCTTCAAAGTCGGAAAGATATAAAACAATTTTTTTGTAGCCAGATAAAAAATTTACACCATAAATGTAACTGGTGGTCATAATGCAGGGAGAGGAATTGTTAAATAAAATAAAAAAGTTTCATAGTGGTAGTCAAACAGTGAGATCTATACAACTGTTGATGTGATTGTTGCATAACGTACACAGTAGTCAGCTTTGTCGTTATTTCTTGCCGAGTTTCAGCGACTTGACCATCTGGAAAGAAAGAAAAGGTTGGGAAGGTGATGTTGACATCATCACTTAAGCGAGGCACTTTTTTTTTAGCTGTTTTAGTTTTCCCCAGAACCCACACGAGAACCTAAAAAGAATTCTGCTAGAGTTGTTACACTGCATTAACTTTTTTGTGCAATGTTGGAAAGGCTTTTGTGCAATGTAGGAAGGGATGTTTGTGCAATGTTAGAAGGCTGTTTGTACAATACTAAATAACTGGCTGCAGAAACTACTTTTGTTGGTTGTCTATGAATTGCGAGAGCATTCGTCATGACTCGTGACACAGCTCACAGTGAGTATGACGACGCATATTTCCAGTAAACACTTCATTTTATGAATTGTTTAAGATACAATCATTGACGTCAGCACGACTGCAGCACACAACTTCGAAAATGAGCAATTGTTTCACCACCATCACTGGCCATGTACCAACTAGCTCAACTCAAACTAATAATAAACTAAATAATAAACTAAATCAAACTAATAATAAGCTTGGGTGCAAATGTTAATGTGTGCATACTGCCGCTTCGTGGTTGCATCTTTCGGGTTTATCTGTTTGCTAGGAAGACGTATAGAAAGATCTCTAGGGCTATCTCAAAAATGACCTCTAAGAAGACATCTAGAACGACCTCTAGGATGACTTCTACAGCGATCTCAAGAACGTCAAAAACGACCTCTAGGACAGGGTGTAAGATAGACAGGTGGTGAAACGAGAGCCTAACGAGCGACCGGATTGTGTCCCCCTCGGTTTTCTCTTTTTCTGTGGTGCCATGTATGTGGAGCACCGCGAACTCTCACTCCAGGTGGGCGAACGCTGGCGACCGGTTAAACTGACGGAGAAGGTTTCTCGTGAATTTTCAATGGAGGACCGCCGTGCTCTCAGTTTATTTTGCGCACTCTCCCATAAAGTTCCATGCAAATTCGATTCCAATTTTTTTTCTTCTCGCCGCAGCGCCATCTGTCGCAAATCGGGGGTACCCGCAAGCCACCCACAAGCAGACGAGTACACAATCCGGTCACGGCGCTGCGGTAGGTTTCTATGGGCCGTTTCCCCACCTGTCTATCTTACACCCTGCTCTAGGACGACATCTTTTAGAACGCAACCTCTAGAACGACGCCAAGGGTGTCAAACCCTTTGAAGAGGGTGCGAATGTGAAGGACTGCGTACTGCCGCTCCGTATAAGCGCGGCTCCTGTGTATGCACAGCACATTCGAGGCCAGATCCCATATCGCGAAGACCGGGTGAAGTAGCTAAAGAATGCCATTGTATTAAGAAAAAGTAGTTAAACATGAAGAAAAAAAGGAACAGGAGGAGACATGTTCCCCTTCTCTTTGACTTGTCACTTAACACAAAAAAGTGGACTTTTCCACCCTGCTGCGTGTATAATGGTCACAAGCCGTCTCATCACACGTTCATCCGCTCTGCAAAATAGTCCCTGTAAAAGCTTGCTGTTATTATTTCAAGATACCGCAAGATTTAAAGGGATGGTGAACCGTAATTTGGATTAAAAAAAAAACAATGTTGGAGATGTAGGCGGGACGCTTCAATCCCTACAACACTAGTAAGGCGATATCTCAAATGGACGGCCGTATTTTTAGCGAAAGGAGTCTAGATTGAACCAGGCCGACGAGGCGCGTGACCGTCAAGATACCTAGTTTCCTCCTCTCTTCGCTTCGCTCCCTCAAGGCCGCGAGGCGGAGAAGACGCGAGGCCGTTCCCTCTCCTTCTCTGAGAAACATGACGTCAATATTCCTGCCAAATGCGCCACTCTTTTTTAAACATACGGTCATCCGTTCAAGATATCGCTGTATGAGTGATGTTTTGGTGTTTGTAGCATCCCGTTGCACGCTTTTGCCGCATGTTTTGGGGAATCCAGATTTCGGTTCAGCATCCCTTTAAGGCTCAATTTGTAGCTGACAGCAGCCACAAAATGCCAGCTTACCAAAATGCTAACTTGAACTGCTCTATCGGCGCTGCTGTTTGGTTCCGTTTACCTAAAGACATTTCTTCTTGGGTATACTTCAAGCAAGCATCATGTGAAGGGAAATGTCCCATCGAGCTATTCAATAAGATCTATTTTAACCACTAACATTTTATGAAGCGAAAAATAAGGGACTCTAACCAAATATTTAACTCTAACTCTAACCAACATTTACCCGACGTTTCGGGACCAGTTCGGTCCCTTGTTCACGGGTGAGTGAACAAGGGACCGAACCGAACTTTTAAACCATGTGAGCAGAAATGTCCTGTCGAGCTGTTAGAAAAAAAAAAAGTGTTTGGAACATTAACCTTTTAAACCATGTGAGTGGAAATGTCCTGTCGAGCAATTAGAAAAAAAAAAGTATTTTAAACATTAGCCTTTTAAACCATGTAAGTGGAAATGTCCTGTCGAGCTATTAGAAAAAAAGTATTTTAAACATTCACCTTTTAAACCATGCAAGTGGAAATGTCCAGTCAAGCTATTCAATAAGATGTATTTTAAACATTAACCGTTTAAACCATGTGAGCGACAACGTCCCGTCGAGCTATTCGATAAAATGTATTTTAAACATTAACCTTTATAATCATGTGAGCAGAAATGACCCATTGAGCTATTCGATAAAATCTATTTTAAACATTAACCTTTTACACTATGAGAGCGGAAATGTCCCGTCGAGCTATTCAATAAAATGTGTTCTAAACATTAGCCTTTTAAACGATGTGAGTGGAAATGTCCTGTCGAGCCATTCAATAAAATGTATTTTAAACATTAATATTTTAAACAATGTGAACGGAAATGTCCCGTCGAGCCATTCGATAAAATGCACTTTAAACATTAACCTTTTAAACCATGTGAGCGGAAATGTCTTGTCGAGCTATTCGATAAAATGTATTTTAAACATTAACCTTTTAAACCATGTGAGCGGCAATGTCCCGTCGAGCTATTCGATAAAATGTATTTTAAACATTAACCTTCTAAACCATGTGAGCGGAAATGTCCCGTCGAGCTATTCGATAAAAGGACCTTAAGAATTCCACCGAAAACACCACGGGGCAAGTTAGACGACGGTAGCAGATAGTCCATGAAATTGGCGGAAAAAAAAATCCGCCGATTTATTTAAATGAATCTATGGTCGTTATATGTACTAAATCTCACCGTCATTGCCAAGCCAACTGATTCAACAAATCTTAATACCACTGCTAATGTCCATTCCAAGCTGGATGGTCATGTGCGGATACGACAGCCACGCGTTGTACGAGTGACTACAATCCGAAACATTTCCACAAATTGTATAAACTGCCAACAAATAAGATGATGCACTGCTTTTTGCTGCCATTTCTCTTGCTGTAATGAACACCAATAAAACCAAATCATTTTGGGATTTGATATACAATGTTTCGCTTGCAAGCATTTCGAGAAACAATTTATGTATCCTTACATCACTGGTTGAGGGCAGATCTGAGCACCGGGGAACAAAAGAGTCAAGACGTACGAGACATTAAAGGAGCTGTGGAATGATTTTAACATTGAAAGAATTTGCATCTTGTACTTTTGGCAATGTTTATCTTGCCACAAAGGACAGAAAATGCATGATCTCCTTCCTTCAAAATATTGCGATTCCTCTACGTAATCGCGAGGCAAAAATCGGAATATTTTCAAATCTGCAGCCGCAAGCGGCAGCCATGAGGACCACGCGGCACAATCTCAAAGGGGGACTGTAAAAAATAGGAAGTTGTGCAGCTACCTGCTCAATAAATGGTAATTTTTTTAATAAATCTTGTCATTCCAATGTCATGTGTCATGAACTTGGTATCATCTACAAAATTTTTATTATACAGTTTCAGTAGCGCCATCTATCCGAGGTCAACAAAACCATCAGCCCTATCTGCTAACGTGAGGAGCCACCAGAGGCTAGACGGCCGGACCTGGACGAGCACATTGGCACTTTCGTCATGTAGATAGTGCAGCGCAAGCACGTGGTCACGTGGTTGCGAGCAGGTGAGTTCTTGCTGCTCACTGATGGAGCTAGAGGGAGAGCTTTACCGGAATCCCGCGCGTCCACCTTATGTTGATAGCACAACGCAAGCACATGGTTGCAAGCGGGTGAGTTCTTGCTGCTCACTGATGGCGCTATAGAAGAGCTTCACCAGAACCCCGTGCGTCCCCCTCTTATGTCACAGGGCACGCGACTCGGAAGATGGTGAAGGAGTTGAAAGATGCCAAAAAACCTCAATCTTTGTCCTTTTGTTTAATAAAAAATAGAACATGCAGGCAAAGGAACTTTTTATTCTTTACTTCAGAAGGGTCGAGACACCAGGTCCCACAATTATTTAAGCAAAGAACTGAAATTGGTGCACAGCTCCTTTAAGTACACAAAAATGTCTATGTGAGAAATAGATTAAAGATACGATACAATATCTTTCAATGTTGAACCGAAATTAGCGGTATTAACTTGATTTAGCAACGGAACATTGCAGTTGTTTTCCACTGAGTAGGACAGTAGTGCTAGTTGCGATTTGGTTTTGGTAAGTAAAATGTGCAACCTACCACTCCCTGACATGGGCAGTGGTGCAGTCCATGCGTCATGGCGCTGTTTTATAGACCTTTCTCATCCGTACAAACACAAGAACCCCCCCTCCCCCCCCCCTCCCAAGTGACTTCCGGCCGCTCCATTTCAGCAGGCCTTCCGAGCCTGTTGATGTCACAATTCCAAGGACAGTTACGAAGTTGGCGGTTTAGTGAGGCCCTTATGTTGCGTTATTCAACTTGTAAAAGAGGATTCGTCGTCTTACAGGAGCATTGAGCACTTCTTATGAGTTGTGAATGCGAAAGCACGAATGTCGTTCTTCCGCTCCCTTAGTTCGTCTGCGGCGTAGTGGCATGCACGTTTCGCCGGCAAACGGCCGAGTGCATGCTTTCGTGAAGTGGCTGCGCCACGCCTCGCCGAGCTTGGCCGTGCAATCTCCCTGGAGTCTGCTCCGGCTGGGCTCTGGCTGCGCCACCATGGAAAGGGCTTCTCTGGTGGCTTTTTTTGGAACTATGCCGGATGAGAGCCAATGAGAGCCTTGTTCCTTGATGACGTGCACCAGCCAATGAGAGCATAATTTCATCAGAAATCGGCTTCACTTGGGAAAGGGGATTTTAGGTGCCGTATGGCGAACACTTGGCGTGGTTTCAAAGCTGATGACGTCAATTCGCTCCAGACAGTTAATGCATTAAAATTTCCAACAAATCTCTCGCTAAATAATCCATTAGCTAGCCACCTGGAGAACTGGTCATAAAATATTTAATGAACCAGACGTCTGTGAGGACTTGTGTCTAATTCTATCTGTACCCTGCCTTACAACAGTTGCAGGCAGTGCTGTGGAAGCCGTGGGTGGAAAAGAGATGAAAGCCGCTTTTGTCCAAATTTTCAGTGAAATGCCAATTTTATAGGGAAGAAAAGTGACTTGGGGATATACAAAAGAAGGTCAGAAGAGGGGAGTTGCTCCTTCCCCTCCTCTCCAACCGCAACATTACACTCTCGCCCTTGTACCTTTGGTAACATTGCACTGTCAGTCTGCATTGCTGAGTGAGACCCCTCTCCCCCCTCCCCCGTTGCCATCAACACAGCAAGGCTGGGTTGATGGGATGGGAACGGGTTTCACAGCAAGGCTGTGAAAACTACACTAGCCTTGCCAATGTTGCACAAAAATGTTGTCACGGAATGTAGGGAAGAGATGGCAGTTCCACACTACCTCATTCACTTTTTTCACGCTGTCCGGAGACATGTTCTCGATCTCGCTGAACATTGTTTGCAGCTTGTCATTCCTCTGGGGCTTCAACAGGGCACGATCTGTTTCCAAAGAGATTGGTGACTGGTTAAGGACGTCTCGCCGGAATGTTATTCGATCGGGCAACCACGGTCGGGACGGGCGACTAGTACCTTCGGTCAGGAAAGGATGCTGAAGTAGCTCGGAGATGGTAGGCCTTTCCCTGGGATTCCGTCGAAGACATCGCTGTGGTTAAAAAAATAGTGTGGGAAGATTAGCTTTTCAGTTTCGCCGCCTCGTTTGCTCAAACGTTCACCGTCATGTTGTCATATTGTTTTTTTTTTTTATGAAAACTCAGTTTAGGACTCTTTATATATTATTTTAGAGTACAAAGCGTATAAAGTCATTTATATGTATTAGACCTAACATCTACCTAGCCTTGCTATAATTGGCAGACAGCAGGATGCAACAGCCATTAACAAAACTGAAGTAGAGCCTCGTACCAAATAATTCGCAAAAAGTGAGCATTAACATCTTCACCGTGGCTCACCTGCAGTGGCAGAAAAGGGCAACAAGAGTCGCTTCTTTCCCATTTGCAGACTGATGAACATTTCCAACTTTTCACCACTGTTCGTTGCCACTGCTACACAGGAAAAGTTACATTCTCCTTTGGAAACATACAGAGGGCAGTACAATCAGCAGGAACGAGCAATCATCCGCTCCTTTTCTTTCGATATATGGTTTTGTGCAAAAAAGGCGGACACAAGAAAGAGAAACAAACACGAGCGCAACTTACAACTGTATTCAGGAAACTTTACTGTGTCAGAAAATTTTTTTCCGATACTGTAATTTTGGGCGGAAGTAAGGGACAAAAAGCATGTGAGCTGTTGGAAGCCTTCGTTATCAAAAAGAAAGGCGACCTATGTGTGAGCGATACCTTGATAAGTTTGTATAATGCTGAAAAACGCTTTCTTGATAAGTTTCTGTGATGAGCGTGGGATACGACGCATGCGTGGACGCATTGAAGTTGACGATATATCTGTATGTTTTCTAAAGGTTTCCTCAATACAATTGTAATACCCGTGTCAGACGGCGTTCTAAAGATCCTTTTTACTAAGCTCCTTTATAAAATCGGCGAACCAGCGCACGCCGTAGGGCACATGCACACTCAACATCAACATCGCGAGCAGATTGGCCGATTTTATAAAGGAGCTTAGTGAAAAGGATCTTTAGAACGCCGTCTGACACGGGTATAAGTTGCGCTTGTGTTTGTTTCTCTTTCTTGTGTCCGTCTTTTTTGCGCAAAACCATGTATCCAAACGTTCACCAACTCGCCCAACAACAAACTATTTTACAGCTCCTTTTCTTGTTTTACAGCTGGGAGGCTACGATCAAAACTGCTAGCGTAGGAGAGGGTGCTCGCGCAAAACCACCTAGCGCAATCAAAATGAAAAAAAAAAAAAAAAAGGCAATGTCACAGTTACGTCAATTTCTGCACAGCGTGCAGTGACACAACCACACCTAGGGTAAGTGCACAATGCAACATGCACTGCGAAATTTGCCAACTCATTTAAGGGCTGTCCAAACAGGATGCAATTTCTGCAGGTTTTCCTTCGATTCCGGTCTGCTTTTCTGCTTTCTTTTCTTTTGCCGAGGGAAATGCTTCCCTCCGCTTGCGGAAGGAAGCTTCCCCTTGGCAAAAAATAGGATAGACAGAAAGAGGCTTAGAGCGTGCTCGTCACATGGGTCCCAACAGCAGCTCACACGCCCTTCTGGCTGTCGTCAACTCCTCTGTGGTAATTGTTATCTCTATGGTAATTTCCCGTAAAAAGAGGGGAAAAGGCGACAGCGAGGAGGCAAGGAGGAAAGCCACGCTGTTTGCATGGTTGACGTCTAAATTTAGAACGAACATGCGCGCCGCAACGTCTATTTTTTCAAAAAAGTGTACGCTTTTTCTGCCGTGACGGCATTTGCCGCATCCTGTCTGGACAGCCCTTTATTCTTCCGCACGTCGCCTGCAGAAGCGGGGCATAGCCAGGGACGTAGACGAACCTTCAGGACGTCTAGGAGGTTGGGATCGGCCACGGGAGGGAACGGGATGGCAAAGTTCGGGTTGATGATGGCACGTAGCTTGTCGTTTCGTGCCACGATGTGCTGGAAGGGTGCACGGCCGTATGCCAGGGTGTACAGGATACACCCCAAGGACCAGATGTCGGACCGCCGGCTGATCTGCATCGAAGCAGACGGCGTGCCAGACGATGAGTAGGGTCCCGTGTTTTCGGTATATGGGTAGAGTATCGTGTTTTCGGTATACACCAATAAACCCCCAAAAGTTACCCCCAGGGCCGGTTTGCCGGTGAATGCGGACATCTCTCCCGGTGGATAAAATAGTGGCAATGGGGATTTTGAGGTTGTGTGAAGTATCTAGCATTCCAGCCGATTTCACTTGGCAGATGCAAGTCTCGTTCGTTGTACCCCCGAAATAACTTTACATGCCCCTTCTAAGGAACACAAATGCAGTTCATTTCACTTAGACTTCGGGCATGTCAAGCTCTTTTCGTGTGCAAAGTCGGACTTGAACAATCAAAGCGAGGATGGACCCGCGGCAACCATTTGCCCGAAACGCTAAGTACCTTTAGTTTCCCTTTGCTAGGGGAGCCGTTCGCGTGACCTTGAAATTCAGCTTGCAGCTATTCTAGGGCACGGGAGATATAACTGCACACATTCACCGGTAAACTTGCCCAGGTGTGGTCCGATCGATAGCAAAGTGAACTAAAAAACCCAAAATTCAAACTGTCCTCAAATAAAATTAAAAAAAAACAACAAAAAAACAAAAAACTTGAGTTTCACGAAAAGAGATTTTTTTTCCACGGCTTTAGTTTGTGCTGACCCGGAACGCAGCCCGTACCAAACTGTCCGCGAGGCAGGTTCCCGCTTTAATAACCTCACCCCTTACGTCCTTCTCATATCCATTCTGCAACGTTTTCCAAGTAAGTATTCAGGTCCTGTGGCCGTACCCTGCAGGTTGGGGAATCTGTTTGGGAATGTCCCGATCTCTTTGACGAAAGATGCAATTAATGCCAGCTTTCAAACCCCCAACACCAAAAAAACAAAACAAAAAGACTTCACCAAATTTAGAGAAAAATTAACCCAGAAAACATGGATACTAGTGGTAACTCGAAACTCAGATTTTCACGCCTCGAAGTGAACATAACGAGAGCGAGCATGTTGCCTCAAACGGTCTTCGCACGCTGTCCCAACCTAATTAACCTAAACTTAATTACCTAGTCAAGATTCAATTAATGTAAAATGCCATATAATGACGCAACATCACCTTCACTACGTTTCGTCGCTCTCAAAGGAAGGTAATCTTAAAATAATCGCATTACTTCCTAAAAGCAATGTGCAATTGCAATTAATTGCACTCTGTAATCTAGTAATCAATCTAATTGTAATTAAATTGCACTCTTAAAGGGCAACTCCGCTTCATTTTTGTTTTTGAAAAATCAATGCAGTCCTCTTCAGTATCACCTAGGAAAGAAGACTACACATAAAATATAATGACCTAGTCCTGTCTAAATGTTTCTTAAACGGTCCGGCAAACTTTGCAGCGGGCCAAGTTGCTGGAATCGGCTGACTGTAGCGGGCAACTTGAGGCACAACCAACAGCACAGTCAAGCTACGGCATTGGCGTAGCCAACGTTGAGCAAAACGTCATCACCATTGCCCGTTTCTTTGTTTTTACGTCTCAGGGTAAGTGCAATGGGTGACATCAGCAACAATTCTTCTCGGCGTTCAGCAGTGCCCACGTGATTGGCTTAATGCACCTCTGCAGCGCGCTTCTTGGGTGCCGTCCGGCCGTCTCGCCGTTACTGCCGTCTTCCGCGTCACAACCGCCATTGACGTCTCAACGTTTGTGATTACTGTTTCTCAGAGACAATAATCACACAATAAACAGTACATGCGCAGACTGATGCCGCAGTTGTGCAGACGTCGTCAAATGTCGTAGACACACAACATGTTGAAGAGTGCGTTGCAGACGACACTTGCGCCTGGCGCACACCTGCCCCACTGGTGGCCCACCGGCACACCTCAATCCCACCTGTCCTTGTGTAGTGGATCATGTGGCATCTCGTACCACGCCATGTTTTTGACGGCCAAAGTTTCGGTTTCGATTTCTCCTCGTGTTTAAAGCGAGATTTAACAATATATATAGGGTTGTTATTTTTGGGCTTTTATTTTTATTTTCACGTCCGTGACATCATTTGCTAAACGAGAATATATATTATTTTCTTTTGATTTGAGGTAATTTTAGCAGAAATATGTATTAATTTTTCTTCAAACTGTTTCAGACTACGACCCTAAACGGAAAAGCACACAGAAGAAAATCAAGGTTAAGCCAGATATCCCCAACAGGAAAATGGGGAAAAACCCATTAAGACTTTAGGAGCTTTGAACCCCCTAAACTAGGGGGCACAAAAGAGGAAGGGCAACCCTAAACGAGGACACACAGAGGACAATGGGGACACAACCATCGGAACAAAATAAAACTTAGCGGACGTTAAAATAGTAGTTGACAAAACTAAGACCCCGAAACGAACAACCTTAAATATATATCCCATGTTTCGTGAAGCAAATGACGCAGTACCTTTTATTAGTGCTTTTTAATGTGAAATCACTCATTATCCTGAAATTTTTGGACTTGAACGTAGTTGCCCTCTAAAGTAATTTACCAAATAATGTCATACAGCACAGATTATTCAGCAAAGACAGAATTACTCGGAATTCCCAGCACAAACTGGAAGTAAAAAAGAAATGCCCTTTAAGCTTCCTTGAATATGAATTCCAAGGATGCAGAAACCTAGCCACATGTCTCCATGCCTACTCCGAACATGTAAACCAAACACCTCAACTAATTGGTTACGTAATTGGTGTCAATTCTCGGCAAGTCTGAAACAATCTGGTTGTTAGCGAAGTATAGAGCTCAATGAAATGAGAAGGACCAGTGGAGTGCTTGGCCTCGCTAGAGTAACTGAACACGTTCTGCTTGAGGATCATGTACAGTTGAGCTAGCACACTCAGTTACTCTATCGTAGAGTAACCGCATCGCTCCATTTGTTAATTACTCTAGGCATTACTAGGGTAACTGTATTTGCACGAGGCCACGCGCTCTGCCGGTCCGTTTCGTTTCGACAAGCACCGTACCTTGAGCCCGCAATCTCCAGTGCCGTTTCCAGGCATCCTGGCGATGGATTCCGGGGACATGAAATTCAGGGTGCCCATCTGGAAAGAAAGATGCAGGCTGCTTGCTTAGAATGTTGCAGAAACGCCAGAAGACCAACGAGAAATACAGTTGGTGATAAGCTTAAAATTCAGTAGATGTTATGCCTCCAGCTCCGCGTGTTCTTTGATTGCCATCTGCCGCTCTTCGGCTGCACGTGCGACGGAGTGCTATCAGAGACAGAAAGCTCGTGGTCGAGGCGGAGAACCTACAGCATTCTTAACTTGTCACCAACTGTAGCAAGCTAAAACTAGTAAACTAAAACTAGTAAAAACATCAACTTCTTTTTTAATATTTTCCCTTCTTCCAGAGTTGGCCAAGCGCATATGCTGGACAGCAGATAAAAAAGACCTCAAATTCTAGCAGAGAAAAATAAAAATTGCAGTCAATGGGGATATTAGTGGGGCACTCAAGTGGGTTTCAAGATTGTCTTTTTATGGTGCAAACTCAATCTATCCGCCCTAAAAGTAATATTAAACCGGAATTTACAATCACCGTCGCCTTTTTCACCCTTAAAGAAGTAACCAAACACGGCGGCATGTCCCTTTTTCAGAGATTTCTCAGAAAAAGGGCGTGTCAGTGTCTGGTCGCATTTTTAAGGGCGAAAAAGCCCACACGTGATTGTAATTTCCGGTTTTATTTTTCGTGTGACGGTTGCGATGTTGAAATATGACAAAGTTGGGTTGGGCGACAAAAACTAAAGCTAATGGTTCAAGCATAACTACAGTCGAATCTTGTTAATTCAAACTCAAGGGGGACCAAATTTTTTTTTTTTAATAAAGCAAAGTTTGAATTATAAGGAGTTTCCTCCCATAGAGACCCATAGGATGGGACCCGCATGTTAATTTGAATTATCTGCAAGTTTGAATCGAGAGAATCTGAATTAATGAGTCAACTGTAAAAAAAAGAAAAAAACGCATCTCCTCGAGGCGAATGATGTTGATTGGGGCGAAGCTCTGGTGGTGCTTGTCTGCGTAGACGCTGCCGAGCCTTTCGTTCGTTTTCATCCATGTCACGCTGCAGTCAAATGCTCAAATGCGTATATAACCACGTTCCATACCACACATTCTCTTTCTGACATATATGAAAACGAACGAAAGGCTCGGCATGCTGCGGCTCACCGTCTACGCAGACAAGCACCACCAGAGCTTCGCCCCAATCAACATCATTCTCCACGTAAAGATGTGGTTTTTTTTTTTTGTTTGCCCTACACGAGCACGGGAGCACGAGCACCGGACGCCGGACAGACATACGGACATGGCTAGCCCCTAAGGAGCTTCGCCCCTAAAATATAGTACAGTCAAATGCCTTTATAACAAGGTCCGCGGGACCGGCGAAATCTTTTGTAGTACAGGTAACTTCGTTGCAGTAGGCGAGCGCTAAAAATAATCATGTGAAACCGAATATGTGCTATAGCAAACTGACGTAGCTGCGCAACATTTGAGGTGTTTTAGAAAACAGTGTAGCGCCAGGTATAGTATGAGCAACATCAGAAAAGAGGTTTTGTACATTGACAATTGACTTATCAAAAGGGGGAACGGTGGCCCAGTCTGCTAGCACATTGCAGCTCACAGCACATGGGGCAAATGCTTGTGCTGCAGAATCCAGGCATCTTGGGCTCGATTACCACTATTATTATTTTTTTTTTTCTAAATAAAATTTGTATTGGCACGCATTCGTGTACTCACCACTGTGTGACGCAACTTAAAGACGACGGGCTAGCGGTCGTACCGCCAGTACTGCAGCTGGCAAAGTTTGTCATCTACAGCTGAAACACCAGGCACTCCTTGCTGCAGACTAATTTTCCGCCATCCAAACTTCAACAGAACAAACTTAAGTGACTTGCCAAAATATGAATCTCAACCACCGACATCGATCCCCGATCACACAGCGAATGAGAAGTGTTCGCCGACTGTGCAAGTTTCACCTTTTCTACATAGTGTGGCTGCTTCTGCTGCCACGTGTCATTCGGAGTAGGTTTTCTAAGCGGCTGTGCTGCTCTCAAAGGAGAAGCACTGCTCTCAAATTGTCCATGCACTCAGCTATGCGACAGCTGCAGTGCGCGGCGCAGCAAAGATGGGGAGAGGCGTACAACCAAGCCAACTGAGATTTTTCACATCTATCCGGCACAAAGAGGGGGGGGTGCATTTCTCTGTGCGGCTTTACTGATTTCGTTTAGATTTTGGCGTCATGGGTAGAGTCACAGATCACATTTCCTCGGCCGCATATTATCGCTCCTAGGCGGAACAATTTGGGACTCGGATAGAACAAGAATGGGAATCTTGGATCCTGACAAAGATCGGAGCACTGGTCGATCAAATGGCAGGAAAGCACGAAAAAGGTTTGACTGCCCGTGAGAATACAATTTTTTGTATATACTTTCATTCACGCGGGCCCTTTCATATACGCTGATGTACGTGCAAAATAAGAAAACAAGTGTGTGCATTTCCCGGACGGAGCGTTGAAAAAACGCTCATCTTAAAGCGGAGTGGTACGTGCTCAATGAACGGCGTGAGCAAAATGAAGGTATGCACGAACGCGGGTGGCGTGCGGCAAAGGCAGAAAGCGGTGCCACCTCCACTGCGCTGCTTTTGATACCGCCGCGCCGTGCATTCTCAGTTTTTTGGGCGCTATGTGACCATGTACCTGTGTACATGCTTTCTACGCAGGAATGTAGTCATGTAGCACCATCTAGACACAAGGTTGCACACAAATTATTTAAAACAGAAACCAAGAATGCACAGCGCAGCAGCGGCGGCAATTTACATAAAATCGATTGTGTTTCACCTAGATAATTCATGATACCGCTAATTTTTACTTTGTGGGGCCGCACAATAGCTCCATTAAACATATATATTTTCGTTCTAGTAGTCGGAGAAATAGATTGAACACATTGGAGATTGGCCGAGACTTTGTTTTACTTTGTTAGACAGGCATTTTCGTAGTAGAGGCATTCGGAATAAAGGTGTTTGACTGTATGGCAAAGAAAAACGAGCAGTCCTGTGTTAATCCATAGTACAGTCACAGCGCTAGCTGCGACGCATCATGGCGAAGTCATTGGGCATTGGTGTCGCATTCACGCGCCGTGCGGTGCATGAATAAAAGCGTTTGGAATAAAATGGACATCTGACCATTTTGTTCCGAACGCTTTTGTTTCTGCTTTTTTTTCCAGAGTGCATGAAAGCGCATCTCCTGGCACAAGCTCTTAGCATTGACAGTGCTACAGCGGCACACTGTTATCGGCTATTTCTTTGTATTTTTCGAGAGAGTGTGTGCAGTGGGCATCGCTCTTTAATTTTTATGACATGGTGCTACAATTCATGTGATCATTTTATGGCCGGAAACTATGGCTCTTCAAACTCTAGCTCAGGTCTGATTTCAGCCTCACACGACGTGTGGTTCACACTGTGAACTGCGTCGTGTGAGATGCCTGCGTCAAACGAAATGCCTGCGTCAAAATGTTTGACGCAGGCATTTCGTCAGCTACCCTGAAAATGGAAAAAGAAAACGAGTTCCGCGCGGTGATCAAACATTTTTATTTAAAATAGTGGAGGGCTGCGAAGATCAACGCCGAGTTGGACCAAGAACACGGGGGTTCTGCACCAGTGTTGAAGACTGTATATTTTTGTATCACTGAGTTTCAACATGGCCGAACATCCACTTAAGATGAAGCCTGCTCCAGACGCCCAGTTAAGGTCACCACGAAGGAAATTGTTAAAAAAATTCATGGCATCATTTTGGAAAACCGTCAAGAAGAGATCGCTGAAACTGTAGGCATCTCAACTCACCGTGTTTACAACATCCTGCACAAAATATTGGACATGAAAAAGGTGTGTGCATGATGGGTGGCGAAACCGCTCACTGACGACCAAAAACACGGCCGAAAGGACACTTCAATGCAGTGCCTGGCGATGTTGAATCACAATCCAACAAACTTTTGGTGTCGATTTGTGACTGTGGATGAAACTTAAATCCACCACTTGACACCCGAGTTGAAGCAGCAGTCAAAGCAGTGCACAACAACTGGGGAAAGTGCAGCACCGAACAAGGCAAAGACCGTTCTGTCAGCTGGAAAAGTGATGGGCACTGTTTTTTGATACCCAAGAAATTATCCTGGACGACTACTTGTAGAGAGGTAAAACAATAATAGGGGCTCGTTATGCAACATTATGAAATCGACTAAAGAAAGCACTAAAACTTAGACGGCCCAGTTTGGCGTACAAAAAAGTGCTTTTTCACCAGGACAATGCACCAGCGCACAAATAGATTGTCTCAATGTCAAAACTGCACAAATTACCCACTGTTCGAACTGATTCTTCATCCCCCCCTATTCTCTGAATTTGGCACCATGCAACTTTTTCCTAATACATTTTTAAATATTTTTTAATTTTTAAAATTTCTTTTTTTGATTGAGGACACACTCTAACCACTATCATTGCATATTTTGCAGGCTTTAAGAGAGCCTATTTTTTGGATGGAATGAAAAAAGTCGAAACTTGCTGGACCAGGTGTGCAGCCCTCAGTGTAGCCTATGTTAAGGAATAAAATTTGAAAAAAAAATCCAGCGGTGTTTATCTTGTTTTTTTACCATACTTATCAAACGACCCTCGTATAAGATGGGCTGATAAGGCTGTGGCATAGCTCTGTGGGAACGCCTCCGCTTCGCACGCAACGGACTCAGGTTCAATCCCAGCGGGCGGCAGGCAATCGTTTTTAAGGATTTGGCAAAACGGACGCCACACGCCCCACTACATCAACTACAACATCAACAATGGACGTCACTTCCAGTGGTGGGAGGAACCCATAACGGCTATCGCTGTAAAAAGTAGACCTGGCACAAACCCCTTGAATTCAAGGGCCTTCCACTCGGCAAATAAAGTGATTTGCTATTTGTCCCCAACTGAGCTATGTCAAAAACAACATGGCGGCCGACACATATAAACAGTCTACGGGACGCTCAAAGTGCCTAAATTGACTTCAGACAGTAAAAAGACGACCTCAAAATCCACTTTAGCGCACATTTAACGTCTTAAAAATTTGCCATCAACAGTCCCACGGGACAATCGAGAGTCCCAAATTCACGGCACAGTTGCTACTACTATGTGCGAGACTCTCAAGAATGAATGCCCTCAAAGAGTCGAGCCATCGCTGACTGAGCTTCGACGTGACAGCCACTTACCTGAGATTCCTTCACGATGCTGGTGGCGTCAGCCTGCACGAGGTCAGCAATGCCAAAGTCGATCAACTTCAGTCTTCCCTTCACTTGCAGGAAGTTGGCTGGCTTCAGGTCGGAGTGGATGACTCCTGGGAGATTATCCGAAAAATATGTGTGTCTCCTTCAATTGCAGCTCACCGATTGCCCAACATGTACGCTAGAACTTTCTCAGCTTCTTGCTTCAAAGGAACTGCTGACACAAACAAAGTACAGAAACATAATTACCTCCATTCCCAAAGGAAAGCTTTACATAAAATTGAGTGCCCCGAAAACAGTGCCGTAAGGCAAATGCCTCGGCTCAAATGATAAGTTTTGTCCAAAATCATTCGGTCATGAAGCGAGAGATTGCACGAAGGTGCTAAATTATTCTTACATTAAAAAACTCACTATTACGCAGGTGCTTCAAGTTTCAACCCGACGAAAGAGTGAATCTAAGCAGGAAGGAATGCCAGGACACCATCATACAAACTAAACCAAGCTCGAAAGTTACTGAAATTTACAGGGTGAAGCGAAATTGACAGAAAGGACTGATCTACGTACAGGATTGGCCCTTCAGTAAATCCGGAACAATATCTATATTCTTTCTAGCGTTTATATGGCTTGAGAGACACTGTCGAAAGTGAACTGACTATCAGACTAAATTAATACAAAAGCACGAAGACAAAAACATGGAAGATGGTATAAATTGCTGTTTACAAGCCGCACTCACAGAAAACGTTTTAATTGTGCACATGGACACCGGCAGCTTAAGAAAGGCAGGGCGTGGCATGTCCCAAGCTTCTTATTGCCTCTCTGCAGTCATTGACAGCCGATAAAGACCGGTTCACTCGCAACTGCTTATGATAATCATCTTAGAATTATCGTAATAATATGATCATGATTATAATTATGATAATCATCATGAGCAGTTGCATCCCAGGGCTACCCGACGGACGGTACCACCAGCATGTCCCCTCGATGTAGGCAGTTACGAGCGGCAGCAACACAGTTGATCGTACTCAAACACAAGCGTGTGAAACAGCCTCCTGCGGTTCTGTTTTTTACCTCTAAACTCAATATAGCTATTGATAAAATGGCAAATGAAGGCTATGCCAAAACCAACATTAAAATTTTCCTGTGCTGTCAAGTGGAACGACGTCGCACGCGTAAATTGCAGGGCAAGCGGGTTGTCTAAAAAACACAATTTTGTGCAATTTCTTCTTTTTTTTTGGCCGGCACAAGTTTTTTTAGAGTTCATTTCACGCCATTGAAACTTCTTGTGGCCCATCGGAAACGAGCTGTACCGCTCCCATTATTACGACATCTGACGTCGCGTTTCCAGCTTCGCCAGTAGAGCGCCTCGACCCCTCGGACTAACTTTAAAAATTCCATGAGTTCACGAAAAAGAATTGATGGTGACTCTTAATTTGCGTTACCAGTGTAGACGCGTCTATTAACAAATTAAACCAATTTCGTGCAGAAAAAAAACCAAAAAAAAACGATAATAATTCTTGGAGAGGGGAACCAAAAGGACAAAATAATAATCCCCTCCTCCAGGGGTTATTATTGTTACTCTTGTCCAGCTCGCTTGCACGTTTGCATTCATTATATTAAAGTCACAACAGCCCACCAACTAACCTAGCTTGCCGTCAAATCAAATTGTGTAAAGCATAATATACGAGAGTCAAGAGTCTCGGTGCAGACGCACCCTTGTTGTGGATCTCAAGCACAGCCTGGAGCATCTCGGACCAGTAGAACTTGATCGCGAGGAGGTTCATGGGCTCCTTCTCGGTGGCAGAGCGGATCACTGAGGCCAGGTCGTTGTCCCCGGCCTCCATGACCAGCATCAGCAGACTTCTCTCCTGGTCGTACTCGCTGCAAGGAACGAAGGCACCGACCGTCACCCGCGTTTCGTGCGACGACGTCTTGGGACAAATTCGCTTGGTTTTACTACAGCACCCGGAACGCGTCACCAACTGGAGCATTAATCCGGATGCTCGGCGAAAAAGTCAGCGAGGAATCCGGCGGCTACGATTGGCAGGCACCATGCTTAACCTCTGACCAATCGCAGCGGTCAACTCCCTTGCCAACCTTTTCGCCGGGTGTCCAGATTAGGGCTCCCGGCTAAATTTAGTGGGATGCACTTTCTCACTAAGTACGGTGAGAAAAACCTGAACAGGCGAATGATTCCACGCCAATTCGGGCTTTCCCACAAAATTTAAGGGGAATTTAAGAAAACCTTTGCATTTCACTTTCGTGTCAAACGATACATCAGTTTTGTTGCATTACATAATGCACCAATTGAATTCGATAAATTGGTGCATAACTACAGTAAAACCTCGTTATAACAAAGTTGAAGGAGTGGTCGTAATTATTTCGTTATAACCATTAGTTTGTTATAGCCAATGTCCATTTCTTCCCACTATTAGCAAGCAAGGGGAATTATGATTGCTTTGTTATATCCATTAGTTTGTTATATCCCGTTTTGTTATAACGAGGTTTTACTGTATACACCAATGCAGGCTTTACCACTAAATTAAAAGGAATTTAAGGGAACTTGCACGCTTCCCTTTTGTGTTACACTATGCACCAATCTGGAAACAGCGCAAGTAGATACAGACGAAGAGAAAGACGACAACACAAATGCCACATTGTATGGTCTCTCTCTTTGTCCGTATCTAGTCGCGCCGTTTCAGTATGAATATGCACCAACTCGCCCAATCACCCATCCCGTTGAACTGGTATATATTATACAGTATACACCGTGCAATTCAGGTTTTCCCACGGATATTTAGTGGAGGACTTGCACATTACACTTTAAAATCACACTTTCTTGGGGGCGCTTTACTCCTTGTAAAATGCTACGATTGCCAACAGCTCGAGAAGCGTGGGGCCCGGATTCACAATTTGCAGCACTGTCGCCGGCCAACGCCGCAATCTTGGCCGTGGAGCGAGAACGAGGTTGCCGAGACTTTGCCACGCCCTGCATTTCTCGAGCCGTCAGTGCGATTACGGCCTCGAACGCACATTGTGAGTTAAAAAAAAAAGAAGAGGTCGAGGAAACGAGAATCCCATGGCTACTCACAAGTCGTACAGGGTGACGACGCGGCTGCAGTCACGCAGCGTCTTGAGGATCCTGACCTCGTTGAGAAAGGCTTGGGTGGCCTCGGGCTCGACCCCCTCCAGGCTCACCAGCTTCACCGCCCGCAACTCCTTATTCTCACTCAGCACCATGTACACCTGGAATGAGTCGTCGCAAAGTCGGGGCAAGAGAGACGTGAAACAAGCGCACAGCCGACCTCAAGCGCGTAACCGTGTATCACAGCTGTAGAGGAACTAATACAAGGTACGGGATGTTATCACTAAAGTTCAGTGTTTTTAGAATATACCGATAAACACCGAGAATTAACCCTCGAGGCGGTTTTTTCCGATTTGGTGAAAACTGAAAAAAACAAAACTGCCCGAGAAAGAGAGGAAAGGCGTTTACAAATCTCTGTAATGCGAAATTAGAGCACAGCTCAGAGGGGAGGGTACACCCCTCCTCCTCCTATACCCTCCCCTTCTCTGTACCCTCCCCTCCTCCTCACCCTTCCCTCCTCCCACAGTTTCCCCGCTAAATTTAGCTAGAAAATTGACGCCACGGAACCTCAACACCAATTCAGTTTTGCCGCTAAATTTAGTGGAGAAAATGACATCACATGAATTCGTGTCATGTCACCCATGAACAAATTCAACTTCTCTGCTAGATTTAGCGGGAAAATTGATGCTACGTGACTTTACCACAAATTCAATTTCCCACTAAATTTAGCATGGCGGTTACGCTGACGGCGACGCCGCGAAACACGGAAACGGGTGCCTAAGAGCTAGCTGCGCTCTAATAAAAGAAGCCAGTTTTACGAGAAATTATCTACCATACTTTATTGTTTTCCTCAATGACAAGGAGCACAGCCGCACTGAACTGTCCTTAAGGTCGTTTCTTTCCACTGAAGCCACAATCCTTTCCCTGTCCCCTTTCCTTATCTTTACCAGCATTACTGGAGAAATTATTATAATTTACCACAACTTATAATATTTTGTCCAGTAAATGTAAAGTCGCCTTACAACGTGAGCCCGATAAACACCACTTTCTCTCCGGCATTGAAATTGGAGACAGAAAAACAGGAATTCAAAGAGAAAGAAAAAAAATACACAGATAAATAACCTTTGAATTTGAAGAAAAATAAATACCGAAAACATTAAACCCTGGTTATTACCTAGAACTATGCTCAGTCTCATCGTAGGTCTGGGCGGCGTAAAAAGAAATACAGGGGGATGCCTAAGCTTTGCCTTTAAGGGGGGACACCACCTTAAAAAAGCAATTTTTGAGAAACAACAACTTTTCCTATTTTTATGTACTGTGGTTTCACAAGTTATAGTAAATACCCCTGCAGATTTTTATTGCAATATCTGAAGTATTTACGGAGAAATAAAACATTTTTGGTAAGCCGACGATGCAAAATCCTATGTTTACGTTTTCTATATTTAAACTGCTGTAGCTTGAAAGCTCACCCGAAAATTGGAATGTTTCTTCTCAATCTGAAGAAGACAACTTTTATTGCCGGGCTGGACGGATGAGACAGGGCTTTGCGAACCCCCAGAACGCCTTTTCGAACTTCCATTTGAGAACCACTGGTTTAGACACAACCACCAAAGCTAATCAAAGTCGATCCTGAGGAACCTAGCCCTCAACAGCTCAGCTGTAAAAACAGTTAAGTTACAGTTACTTCTCAAAATCATGTTGACAATTACAAGAATTCGCATTAATCGTAGTCTTGACTTCACAGCTACATGGACAGAGCTACTTCAAGCTCCATCCATTAGCAGAGAGCTGAATCAAAATGAAACCGAGCCAAATCTTTTCTAGACTGCTAACAGAACCGTTGATCAGTGTCAGAACTGAACATTGTGGGATGTCTTAAAAGTATTGGATTGGAACGTAACTTAATTACTTTATGTGAGGAACTATAAATATAACTATAGGTACATTTGGGAAAACATATTTGTAACTTACTTATATTTCAGCTCAAGTAATTATAACTGCAACTTGATCACTTTCTAGGAGCTAAAGGTGCCCGAAAGCGATTACTGACTCATCATGCTATGGCTCGAACATGATCTCCCTATTTTTACAAAGTCTAAACATCCATATGTTGTTTGCATATGTGCCCCACTTCTAATATAATAAAACTCTCAAACTCTTGCCCTTTTTCATGCCAAGGATTAAGGCAACTAATATTTCCCTTCCCCAGTGCAAAAACGGGAAAGAATGTGACTGATTGCGTATTTCATTAAATCTGTGAAACATATGTGAATAATTAGCCAATTTTTAGACTGCAGATCACGTTAGTTATAAAAGAAACCTTTTAAAACCTACTTCAGTGCAACTTTATAACCCCGTTGTGCACCAACCAAGATATTTTGCATGGTCCTAAACAAGCCCACCTCCGGGCAGATAATCAGTTTAAATATTAAGCTCTTGAACAGTAAAAACATGTTTCACAGCAAAATGAAAAGCACATTGGACATTCAGAAGACGAACAAACCACAGCACTGCAATTTGCTTGTTTTCTCATCCCTGTGTTCTATGTGCAGTTTCTTTTATTATGCTCTATTAACTAGAGTCGAGCCCGGTTATATCACACTCGGGTATTTCGAATTATTGTTTACATCAAACAGTCCAAATATCCCCTTGAATATCACATGTAATAGTATTCGCCTCGAGATCGAACCGTGTCGCCACCGTGAGGCCGAAATTGGAAACGCGCGAAAGCGGGGATACCGCCGTGCGTCGTCTGCTACGGACGCACGCTCAGAAGCATGGATCTCGACGAGGCAAGCCCGTTTCAGGCTGAGCTTGACATTCCTTATTAAATGTTTTATGTTTTTGTTGCCGTTTCTTCTTGCTAAAGGCTGTGTTGTATCGTTTCCCATCCGTAGAAATTTAGCAAACCAATTATTATTATTATTTCGGAAGCTTCCATAATCTTAGTGTTTTGGTCTGTATACAATCGCTGGTCCCACATATTTTTGCTATCTCGCACAAACCGTGGCTTTCATAAAGCATTGAATGTTGAGTGGGTCTGTGGTTTGATTAGAAAATTAACCCGACTGATCGCTATCCTTTAATAGACTAATCAATCAATAAATCCGTATGTTGATTTTTCGCCGGTCGTGTTGCGTGAAAGACGTTAAAACTACACATTTTTTACTGGTTTTACTATGTCATAAGTGGCATATTGCATTCTCAATCTAAACTTCACGTTGTGAGTCCTACATAAATATGAACACAGGAAGCCTTTTAAAATGAAGTATTTTTTAAGTTATTATTTAAACAGTATAATCACCCTCGGTGATATGACAAGCACGCGGAAGTGATTTGCCATGCAAGCCAGTGTCACAAAAGAAATAAAGCCGTCAAAAATATTAAAGCCGGCATTTTTTACTCCTTGTTGACTTTCTCCACCACAAGACTCCAATTAACCGGCAGAAAAAAAAATGCAATTAAAGCATTACTTCAATAATCTGAAACTTAATCGATGAGCTGCCCAGTCAGGAGGGTGATCGGAAAGTCTCGTGAAGCCTCGCTAGCCCTTATCAGTAAAAGAGTATCATGTGGCCGATGCTGTCTGTGTCATGGTGCGCGTCATTTGTTAGGTTTGCAGAGTCTACTGTTTTTGAATACAAGATTATTTAGCCAGAAATTTATAGTATTAGCCTCTTGACATCCGCGGCCCTCACCAAGAAAATTGAAGCGGGTGAACCCACACTACCGAGAAAAGCATTTAATAACAGAAACATTGCTGCGTTGCTCGGTCACATCCGTTTATTACAGTCACGACAGATATATTAGAACAGTTTGTTTCACTTGATTCAGTTGTCCTGCCAACCGTGCAGTTTGCAGATTTTAACCTAGAAGAGACACTCTCTCCTCATCGCAACGCAGTCGATTGTTCAGACTCCACAAAACTTACCCAAACTATGGCACAGTAATAGGGCAGAGGAACTCAACAGCATGGTAATTTCCAATACAGCGCTAACTTATCTTCATTCTAAAAATTTATATTACTGCAAAAGCTATAAGTTAAAAAAGAGCATAGAAGCTGCGATTTCACAGCCCACAGTATCAGTATTATGTTATCTGGGATGGAATTTTTTTTAATTGCCCCATTGATGAGCCAATACATCCATTAAAAAAACAAATATTTAACATAAATATTCCAGTTCACCCGGAGACAGGCATCATTCGTGGTAATCCATGCTTTCCAACGTCTGCATAGAGCAGACGACGCACACACAGAAGCGATTATATAAATTTAGGCCGCACGCCTGCAATACGATTCAATCTTCACTGAAGTACCGAACAGTGCCGCATTCTTTTCCGCTAGAATTGTTTTCCCACCGATAGTATGCGACAAAATAAATGCAAGAATATACGTCGTCTCGCGCGCGAACGTGGAGAGCCTATGAGGCGGCGGTTCTCCTATCCCCGCTTTGATGATGATGATAGCGCGACCGTAGCGCCACCTCTAGGTCGATCTCGAGGCCAATAGGAGTGTTTTCTTTTTGTATCCCACTCCCATGGCGGGGACACACTATATAGCGAACAAAGCCCTGCCACCCGTTACTTTTCCTGCAATCAGATTGCGCCGTTGGCGAACACATCGCTTGCGTTGCGTGGCTGGCAGACCGCCAGGCCATCATACAAGCAGAAAGATACGCAGCGAAAGAGCAGTTGTAAGAAAAAAAAAAACGAACCGTAAAAAAAAGTGTAGGATGGCAAAAGCCAGGGGGAGAGCAGACACGCGCACATAGGAAGAGCAAGGAGTGCTCGCTGTCGGAACGGTAGCCTGCGCCCTTTCCCCGAACACTGCTGATGCTGTACAACTCCCTAGCCTCAAAACAAAATAAGCAAAAAAAATTGTAGAGCCCTTCCACTTCACGTGAAGATGGAGGGCCAGCAAAGCTGTTATTATTACGACGTCTAGGATGATGGCCAGAGGACAAAGTCTAGGACAACCTCAAGAACTACTTCTAGGACGACCTCGAGGACGACTTCTAGGATGAACTCGAGGACGACGTCTAGGAAGACCTCAAGGATGACTTCTAAAACAACTTCGAGGACGATGACTAGGACGACCTCAAGGACGACTTCTAGGATGACCTTAAAGGGACACTACAACGAAATTTCGGCGCTCATTTTTTGGTCTACATGTGTTCGAAGGAGCAGCATCACATCGAACATACCAATATATTGTTAAAAAAGTCACGAAAAGGAATTTTAAAACAAATTAAACGATTAGCAAAGAGCACCTCGTGATTGTCGCTAACGCCTCGCTTGTAATGCCCGTCTAGGAACCTTGACAGCTAGTGACGGAAGTTGTCTCGCCTCCCGCCACGACGAGAGAAGAGGGGCAGGAGGAACTTCCCTCTTCCCGAGAATGCCTTTTGTGTGTCGCAGAAGTCGCTATTGTCCCCCTACAAGATTACAGAAGATTAACCCGTCACTCAAAATTCATACAAAAGCAGCCGCTTCGGTGGCTGGAACGACTAGGCCATCCTCTCGACGTCAGCCTTGCCGTAGCTTTGCTCGTCCTGAGACGACCTACGTCACGATTGCATTGAATGTCACGTGGTCTCCGCTGGGCCTTCTCCGAGCGCTTGCCAAAGTGGGTTGTTTATAACGACAAATACACCACCAGGCTCAAAATACAAGCGTGCGATTTTCATTTACGGATATTGTGGATCATATTCAACCTATTTTTGAACACGACGGGAATATTTCAAATTTGGTTGAAGTATCCCTTCAAGGAAGACCTCAAGGACGACTTCTAGGAAGACCTCTCGGATGACACCTAGGACGACCTCTCGGACGACTTCCAAGACGACCTCAAGGACGACGCCTAGAGGATGACCTCTCGGAGGACTTCTAGGATGACTTTGAGGACAATGTCTAGAATGACCTCAAAGACGACTTCTAGGTTGACCTTGAGAACGACACCTAGGACAACCTCTCGGACGACTTCTAGGACAACCTCGAGGACGATCTCGAGAACGACTCCGAGGACGACTCCGAGGACGACTCCGAGGACGACTCCGAGGACGACCTCGAGGACGATGGCTAGAGGTGATAACAAGGGATCAAGACCTCACTATCTAATAACGCTAAGCAAGGCTGACTCATGCTGGTTGCCCCCTCTTTTTATTTTTATTTATTTATACTTGCCACGACCGATGGGGAGTTTTCTGTCAATATTCGCAGACACATTTTTTTCCCAGATCCTAGCACATAACAGCTTTGCTGTAAAAAATGTCTTTGGCAAGTCGAAAGTATCGACAACAACGGTTGTGCAATCACACTTTGAATGCCCTATCTTTGTTTACTTTTTTATTTTGCCATTATTGCTTTGACCATTTTTTTTTTTGCCTTTCTTTTTTCGATGCCTGAGTTTAGAGAGCTTTCTTTTTTGTTGCTTGCTTATCTTTTTTCTATGGATCAAGAGATTTTTTTATGCACCTCACTTTTCCATTTTTTTTTATTATTAGTTTCGTGTTTTGTCGCTTATGCTGTGTGGAGGTCCTGGCCAGGCACGCATGTAAGCGCGGCGGTGTTTGCAGTCTCCGCCAACTATGCTATAATGTATTTAGCGGCTCTTGGATGCTCTACCGTATTTACTGGCATAATGAACGCACCCCCCAAAACAGGTGCCAATATTTGGACATCCTTTTCCCCTCGCGTAATGAATGGACATCCAATTTTCGGCTTCGCGAGTCTTGAATTGCGTCCAACTTAGCTAGCCACCAAGCCAAGCCGCTCTCATAATGGCTGCAGGTGCATAGTTGCAGAAGTGATCAACCGTGAAACTGAGCGGCGCATGCACTTGCCAAAGCTTGGGTCGAGGAATTGCCCAGCCCCGGACATTCTTCGCCTATCAGATGCATCAATGTCAACAAAACACGCCGTCGTCTGTGGTCCACTTTCAGACAGTGAAATCGTGAAAGCAGTTAGGCCTAAGAACGGTTGCGTTACTCTCCGTGCTGAGTGAGCTTCGTAGGGCGCTTTTGCTTCGGCAAAAGGCACGCTGAAAGCGCCCTAAAAAGGTTTGCAATTTATAAAGCATGGTTACTGTGGCGTGCCCCCAACTAGCTGTGGGTGCACCTCCATCACTGGAGACGTGCCACAGTACCCTGCCGTGCCATATTGGCAGCTAATACAGTGTAGACCGCATATAACGTATGTCTCGCGAGTCGCGAAAATCCGCACTATAAGCGGTACCGCACTATAACCAAAACATCAATTTTTCAGGCCAAAATACATGCCATGAGACAACTTACCTTTGTAAAAGAATTTATTTTATGTTAGATGAAAAAATAAGCTTAGTTTGAGGAAAGTCTTTATTTCAATAGACTAGCACAGTTATGTCTCAAGTGTGTCACACATGTTAAAAGAAATCAGTGGCTTTTGCCTGGCGCAGCCTTTTAACGGCGTCGCGGGTTGCGGACGGACGTTGCGAGCGTTCAGGATTGCTAACCCTAATCACTTTTTTCCGGTGATGAAAACGCGTGAAAATTCGCATCCTTCATACGGTACGCGCCAGTAATACCTTGAACTTGAGCACACGCATGAAATGCGCCAAATAAAAAATCCGGGCGATTTTCGAGGACACAAATGCTTAGAAATCACTGTAGTCGAAGTAAACAAACACGACGACACGGGCGTTTCTGCCGTCTAGAGAGCGCCGCCACGACATCGCCGCACAAGTAGGTGGATCTTCCCTTCTAGTACGTGCTGGGTTATCATAGCGACACACAACGAAAATTCAGAGTCAAGGATAGCGCTTTTACGCAGAACGATGAGATGCACGCCGTCTACGACGACGATCACAACCGACGCCATGTTTGCGGAATAGAAGCAGCCGGCCCGCGACCGGCATGCAACGCGCGTGAACACTTCTCCTCGACTTGCGATTGGTCTGTCGTTGCGGTTGTTTGTTCCTTTGTTTCCAACGCAGCGGAGGGACGCACGCACGTGAACAACTCGTGCGTGCGTCCCTCCGTCGCTACGGCAACTGAAGCCTCTCTCTTCGCTTCTCCCCGCGTTTTCGAGCAACCTCCTTGCCCCGCGAGTGCAGTTTGCGGCTCGCGCAGTCAGCGTTGCGTCAGCGCCGTTATCTAGTGTCGCACAGGGAAGCGAGCTCGCTGCTCCGGTCGTCGGCGCGGTCGGCGGGCTGTGCCAAAAACCGCGCTATAACCGGTATTTCCCTTCGCGTGCCTGCATTTTAAGCGGTATGTAATTACATGGAGTTCTATGGGAGGTGAACCGGTGGTTTAAAAAAAAACGCGTTATACCTGGTCCTGCACTATAAGCGGTTACGTTGTAAGTGGTCTATACTGTATGACATTTGCACTAAGTGTGTAAATACAAAAATTTAACTCTGCGAAATGAACACCCCCCCCCCCAAATATGTGTCAATTTTTCGGGGAAAAAAAGTGTTCATTATGCAGGTAAATATGGTATTTGGTGAGCTCCCGTTTGTCGCGACCTTCGGTGTTAGCAGAGATGCCAGAAAGCTTTAACTCAAGCTTAATTTTACATATTCTTGCATATCAAATTATTGATATATCAAACTATTTTACGATCCCCTTTGAATTCAATATATCTGGGTTCGACTGTATCGATTAATTGTCAACACTATTTATTTTTAGCCAGCCGAAATATTTTCACAAAAATTGAAGGGTCCAGAGATGGACTCACCTTGCTTGATCCTCCCTTGCCAATCAGTTTGAGCATCTGGTAAGTTGCTTTGTTCACTTGGATCACTGGGCTCTTGTCCTGTAACAAGAGAGTGGTTGGAAATAACCAAAACAATTGGATGGTTGGCAATGCATTCGGTTGACAAGGTACCTCAGAAAAAAGGAAACTGCTCAAACAGGGTCAGGGAAAAGTCATGTTGCATTAACTATGCAGCATATCCATTATTATTCCCGTTCACTTTTCAATGACATTAACAAGTATGACCTTTTCTGTTGACCCAAATAACATGAGACCATCCTTTTTCCAGGGCGAGTTTAAATTGCAAGGTTTCGAGAATCCAGTACTGAGCTAAGGTTTCTAAGTCATACTTTTAGTTTTTCCTAGATCCATGATATACATTCTAATATTATGCTTCAATACCATGGGCCATTAAAACAATAACTACCATTAAGAAAGCACACGACAGAGCATCCGATTTTCACACACACCATTCTCGAGTAGTGGCCATGTTGTCACCCCTAGCTTCAGGCACAATTAAAGGAGCTGTGCAACAATTTCAGTGCTTTGCTTAAATAGTTTGGGAGTTGGTGTCTCGACCTTTCTGAAGTAAAGAACAAAAACCGCATTTGCTCGCATGTCCTAGTTTTTATTTTAAAAATTGACAAAGATTGAAGTTTTCGGCACCTCTCAACTCCTTCACCATCTTCCGAGTCACATGCGCTGTGACATGAATGTGGGACGCGCGGGGGTTCCGGTGAAGCTCTCTCTCTAGAGCCATCAGCGAGCAGCGAGAACTTACCCGTTCGCGACCACGTGACCTTGTGCTTGCGCAGCGCGATCGCTGATGGTGAATAGAGAAAAGTTGTGTCCGCGTCCAGCCATCCCGGCTCTGCCCCTTATCTGCCCCCGTCCCCCTCCGGCTTCTGGCGGCTGTTTGCGGTAGCAGATACAGCTGATGGTTTTGTTCACCTCAGATAGATGGCGCCACTAGAACTCTGTATAATAAAAGTTTTGCCAATGACAACAGGTTTTTGACACATTTACATTTATGTTGGAACGCAAGATTTAGAGAAAAATTACCTTTCATCAATCAGGTATTTGCACAACTTCTTATCTTTTTACAAGTACCCCATTGTTGTCAAGCCGCATGTTCTCATGGCCGCTGCTTGCGGCTGCAGGTCGGGGAATATTCTCATATTTGCCTCGCGATTACACGGCGGAATCGCAACATTTCGAAGGAAGGAGGTCTGTTTCCTTTCCTTTGTGACAAGATAAACAATGTCAAAAGTAAAAGATGCAAATTCTTTCAACGTTAAAATTGTTGCACAGCTCCTTTAATTTATGAATTTAGTTAAATTGAGGTTCATTACATTGAGGGTTGCCATCTATAAAATGTGAGTGATGGTAGACATGTATTCTTCCGTTCGCATCCCTTACAACGTATGGACTCCTGCCAGCCTGAAACATGGACACAAGATCCTTCGTGCAATCTGAAACTTCACATATAGGCCACAAAAATATTGATGTTCCTTGTTCTGAGCAACAACGGTTGTGGGCAACTGATTGCTGTTGGGAAGCGCAAAGGAGCGCTACGGTACAACTTTTTGATTGCAGGATCTCGTATAGCAAAGGCAGGAATACAGCAAAACAACGTTAAGTATGTTTGTAACCGATACTACATGTATTTGAGATACAGTAAACTCTCACTTGAGCTAACTTCAAAAGACCCAAGGAAATAGTTCACTTAACTGAAAGTTCACTAAACTGAATATATTCACTAGAATATGGAACAGCATAGGGTACAGCATACATGAAGTTAAATGTGTGAAATGCAATTTATGGAGTCATGTACATCGATATATACAAAGTGCATAACAGTTACGTTGCTGCTTTTCTCACTTTGAAAAAGAATAATCTAATTTTCATTTGCACCAGCGCTCTTAAAACGCATGAAGTAACAAAGTTGCCCAGAGAGTATGTTTTTTTGCACTTCCTCTGGCACTGTCTGTCGCTGTGACGAAGTCATGCTGCAACGCATCGTACACTGGCTTGAAATATCCCATGCAGTCATTTTCTGCTGGGATGAAACGCAGTTTCTCCTTCAAGCTTCGACTTTTGCTTCACTATGGTTGTTGTCAAAGGTGGCATCCCATAGTCCTTCGCAACGTCCACTTGCCTTTGACCGTTGTCCAGATGCTGAGGAATTTTGAGCTTGTCTGATAGAGACAATCGCTTCCGTTTCATCATGTTCATTACAAAAGTGAGTGCACAAACTGCCGTCGTTACCCAAAACTAAGATGGTCGATTGGAACCGATGACCAAGAAACAACAGAAACACCACGTGGTTTGTTTTTGTCTACCGCACTGCCGCTTTCCCTCAGCGGCGCTGTAAACGTCAGCGATGATACGCCACCGCTGCAGAAACAGCAGCAGCGGGGCAGGGAGGCATCGGCACTGCAGAGCGCAAAACTTCGTTGAACTGATTGCAAAAAATAATCATGGGTCGATTGATCCAGTTCATCGAACTGAAATAATTTGCTACTCCAAAATTTGTTTTTCGTTTAACTGAAACATTTTTGCATAGAATGCATAAAAAAATTGGCAAGGATGTTTTTTTAAAGTTTGCTATTCTGAAATATTTGTTAAATCAATGTTTGCTCAAGTGAGAGTTTACTGTACTGATATAGTGGGAATTTTCCCTCATATAAGCTGACTTTTACCTCTGTGGTGATGGGACCTTTTGTGAGCATCATCAGGTTCTCTTTGTAGCCGTCCAAATCATCGCCTTTGCCTTGTTCAAGTTGTTCCTTCGAGGGCCGCGTGAACTTCTCCACTGCCGACGACATTTCCTGCCTTTTGGAGGGGCCGAGCTTGTGTGCGGGCTTCTTGGTCACCGGCTTTTCCGTGATGCTCGTTCCCCGGCGCATGCGTAAAACACTGAGAAAGAAAAGAAAAAAAATAGCAACTAGCTCATTGCTTCTTGAGTCTACACCTTTGAAAGGAAGCACCAACATAAAAAGGCACAATAGCAGGAGGTCTCTCAACAAAGCCCAAAGATGGCAGCAGGCAGTAGAAACAACTCGCTAAAAAACCTCCCGGAAAGCCTCACATGGCAGTCAACGCTTTGCTACAAGAACAAACTCTTTCAGAGACCTGAACATTTTTACGCTTGTATAGTATATACTGGGAATAATTTTATTTTCGGAGCCTCGATGCTCCATAAATCTTGCAAAGGGTGTGTTTCGGGAATATTTCGCGGGCACAAAATTTTGTGATTGGGAGTAATATGCTACGTGCTCGTTATCGTCACAAGAGGGTGAAAATAGAGGCATTTTTTTAATTACAGTATATATTTTATGCTACTATAGTACCTTTAAAAATATTTTTAAAATGTGTACCTTCATATATTATATTATACTGCAAGATCATCCCAAATGTGGTACAGAAATGCGTACGAGCTTGACCGAAAGAGTCAAATTCACCGAAATATTGGCATAAATGTCAGGTGACTAGGCAAGAATAACTGAAAACGATAAGTTCAATCTGGCGAGCTCGTGCCAAAACAAAAATGCAATAACTGGCAGTCCGGGTGTCCATGCCAGCATATACAGCAGGATTGGGTGCCAGCACGAGACTGGCTGGGTGCAAAGTGATATGGCCGCTTTTAGACAAGCTTGCTCGTAGGTTTACGAAGTTCTAAACCAGAACACAAAATAACTGCAGAGAACAAACAAACTTTCCAGAGGAGGAACGAATGAAAAACAAGCTACCGTAATGTCCCAATATATTGCTCACGTAAAATTGAAAGCAGAGAGAGTTAAAATAAACAAAGAAACTAACTTCCAATGTAAGACAATTTTTTTTTTTTAATTTTCATTTTTGTACATTGTGATTTGCCAAACTTGTTATCACATTGGAGGGGTAATGAAGCATAGATGACCATTCTCCCCCATTTGCAACATACGCTTATCTCCCGCCGTAGCTACCTAACCCCGTTTCGGCCAAGCTCCTTATTGGCCCGAGCACTGCAATTACCAGAACTGAGCCATCTTTCTGTGCAAGGCAGGTTATCTTTCGGCGGTGGGTCATCTCTCGCGATATCGTGGTAGGCTGGCAGGATTCAAACCCCAGTTCATCCATGTAGAAGCCGCATGCACTGCCAACTCTGCCACGCACGTGGTACTACACTGGTCCGAGCCTTTTACGGGAAAGAGCCACAATGTGTTCTGCATAACAAGATAAATAAGTCGACAAAGGCAATGAAGCGTTTGATGCAAAAGTGCGACCCGTGCTCGGACTCTTCGGCGCGTGAAACATCATGCCCAACATTCCAGGCCAGTGCCAAACCCAAACTTTGACCCGTCATTCGCCGGACACTCTCCAGTCAGACCACAGCTTGCCCCGTGACCGAAGAAAGCCGATGTAATGTCTTCGTGGAATTATCGACCAACCATATTTGGGTAAACATACCCTGACAAAGAAAAGCAACAAGTTTATTTTCCGAGGAAATTCGTATTCCTCAAAGTTGGAGAGATTTTCTTCAGTTTACGCTCCCCTAAAATACACTCTGCGCCTCTGTTAGAGATTTACGTCAGTTTACACTCCCCTAAAATACACTTTGCACCACTGTTTGTGCAAACAAGCCATTGTCGGTTTCTTTTTTTTTTTCTCTCCAAAAATTTAATAACTGTCATTGAAACTAGTATAGTGGAGAAAGGTGCTCAGATAGAATGTGATGTCTGCCAGTACCCTTTGGATGTAAAATGTGAAAAAGTACCAGCGTCATGTACGAGCTAATGGCGTCGCACAGTGTACCATACTCCGTTTGAGCAGAATGCTGTCCTAAGCTAGAAAAGGAAAATGAAACAAACACTCGCCTCCTTTGTTTCAGCCTGTTGATGGGCAGCTTCACTGCTGGCCTTTGGGATGCCTCACCAGCGGTGCGCCACTTGCAGGTGGTCTTGCCCGGAGCTGAAGCAAGAGTCCACGTAACCAACAAAGAAAACACAAGGTTACCCAAACAAATCTCAATATGAATATAAGAGGACAATAATGATACAAAGAAAAGAAAATTGACTTGACAGCCAAAACACAGAAAAGCAGGAAAACAAAATGCATTTAAAATAGGGCCCAAAAAAAAAGGTTGAGACAAGAGCTACGTTTAATGTTGATGGAATGGAAGGCACCCCTGCGGAGAACGTGGGCTGAAACACCCGATTCTTCTTCAATGCCTTTGGTGCCCACAAGCTCTCCTATACTCTCTCAGTTTCACAAAAAGTCTGAAGTATGGGACCTTAATTGTTTTAGTTCCAATAGTGACAGATGGGCCAGTTGGTACATGATCACTTTTGACAAAATGCGCCGCAAGACAGGGACAAAGCAAAAGAGAAAACACGAAGAGCTAGTTTCAACTAAATGCTTATTGAAACAACACACACTATTTATACACCCAATCGAGCTTCTCAAGCAAGAATTCAAATTCCTTGTCTCTTAGATGGACTGAAGGGGCACTTATGCATCTGTCACCCCCCTGCAATCTAATGGTAAATGACTGGTAGAGCTCTCTCGAAATATTGCTTCTTAGCTTTCCCAGAATTTGTTTTTTCTATTTCCGGGGTGCAAGGGCACCTGTCGCAGTTGATAGCTAAATTGCCCGAGGGGGAACTCCTTAGTGATAGCGCGTGCTCACTTGCCTTTTCATTTCACGCATCTGTCCGTTTGGCCCATGTACCCTTTTACGCATGTCATTGGAATTTCATGTACGACCGAAGATGCACATTCCACGAATTTTCTAGAGTGTTTCTTTCTGCAAACGTCATCTTCATCTTTTTTGTTGTTAATTTTTTGGCACAGGCTGGACACCTTCTCTGGGGCCGAAAACACAACCGGCAAATCAAAGTGCGCCGTCACTTTTTTTTAGGTTGTGTGAGACCTTGTAGATATAGGGTATAACAGCGGGTCTCACTCTCCTCCTGGGCTCCTGTGCTTCCTCTTCTTTCTTTTTCATTTTGGAAACGAGTGTTTCAGCCACTTCTTGAGGAAAATGATCAGGGTAACCCGACAATTTTAGGCGTCCCACCTGGTTGCAAAAACTACTTTTCACGGTGTGCTGGCACGACTTGGCAAAAAATGCCTTCAAAAGGGAGTAAGCAATCCCTCTTTTAACCAGCTTAGAATGTGCTGAATTAAAGGGCAAGACCGTTTTCTTTGAGATTTAAGTTTAAATTTTCAAGAAGAACATCTGTGCTAAGAGTACAGACCACGCTCAAAGAAAACGGTCTTGCCCTTTAATTCAACACACTCTAAGCCGGTTAAAAGAGGGACGACTTCCTCCCTTTTGAAGGCATCTTTTGCCAAGTTGTGCCAGCACACCATGAAAAGTAGTTTTTGCAATCAGGTGGAACGCCTAAAATCGTTGGTTTACCCAGATTGTTTTCTTCAAGAATTGGTTGAGACACTTGTTTCCAAGATGAAAAAGGAAGAAGAGGAAGCACAGGAGCCCAGGAGGAGAGTGAGACCCGTTGTTATACCCTATATCTACGAAGTCTCACACAACCTGCCAGCACCAAAAAAAGAAATTAACAACAAAAAAGACTGAGGTGACGTTTGCAGAAAGAAACAGTCTAGGAAATTTGTGGAATGGCATCTTCGGTCGTATACGAAATTCCAATGACATGCGGAAAAGGGTATGTGGGCCAAAAGGGCAGATGCGTTAATGAAAGGGCAAGATAGCGCACACTATCAGCAAGGAATTCCCCTTTGGGCAATTTAGCTATTCACTACGACAGATGCCCTTGCACCCCGGAATTGGAAAAAACAAAAATTCTGGGAGAGCTAAAAAGCAAAATCTCGAGAGAGCTGTACGAGTCATTCAACATTGGATTGCAGGGGGATGACAGATGCATAAGTGTCCAGTCAGTAACAGACAAGAAATCCGAATTCTTGCTCGAGAAGCCCGATTAGGTGTATAAATAGTGGGTTGTTTCAATAAAGATTTAGTTGAAAGTAGCCCTTCGTGTTGTCTCCCTTACTTTGTCCCTGTCTTGCAACACATTTTATCAAAAAAGTAATTGTTTTAGGTTTGGTATTTATTTTATTTTATTACTTGATTCCAAAGTCTGCTGCTCTCGCTGGTACGCTTGTATTCAAATAAAAGAATTTGCCTTTGCAGACCAACTGTGCCAATAGCTCAGGGACTATAGTATCCGGCTGCGACCGCACCAAACAAGAGTTGAGGTGAAAGTTTGAGCCCCGGGGGGCTTGAACTTTATACCTTAACTCAAGCGACCACTCCAAGCGGGTCACCCGTTCATGACACTCGCAACAATGCTCATTCGTGACAACTTTCTTGTGGAAAACGACCCATAAGACACATTCTGCATTGATTAAAAGAGGTCCGAAGTTTCACGAACTGGAATATCTGTGCAGCTGGGTGGCCGAAACGCGATACAATGCAATTCACATAATGCTACTGAGAGAACCTGTAAATCTTATCATTATGACCGATTATCATTGTATACCTGGACTAGCTTCTAAAAATGCCCGAAATAATGACCCCACACTTTGGGGGCATTATTTCAGCACGCTTCCTTGGCAATACCGCAGATGTGTCAAACCGTACGAAATTAGCTTTCAAATATGCGTTTTCTTTATTTTTCTAGCTTCCGAAACAAAACATACAAACAACCGTCATGTGAACCATACATAAAAGGCAGCAAATCCAGGATTCTCACGGAAAAGCTAAGAGATACCAATGTGCAGCGTATCCAGGTGCTACGCGTGTGTCAACCAGCCACCTTTTTCGTGCACACAGACCGTTGACAAAAATTGCGAGAGAAATGCCTTAAATGAAAAACAAAGATGGACGATAATCGAAGACAGCGTAGAACGACATCGTCCATGTCTCTGCAATCGACGGCAATCGACGTCGCGGGAATGCGCTGCCGCCGCGGGACGGCCAAGTTGGTGCACGGAAAAAGCTCACACCTTGTGTGTTTGGAGGAGGTTCCAACCAAAGTGCAAGTTTGTCTGCTTCTTGCACAGGGGTTGCGGTGACGTCAGAACGCCGAGTTCTTATTTGTTGATTGAAAAATATAGTGGGTAGACCTCGAGACACCTAGCATCGAGGTCTACCCACTATCCTTCCAATCAAAGCCAATTGGAGCTCGGCGTCATTATGACGCCACCATAACTCCCGTGCAAGAAGCAGACAAACTTGCGCTCCACATAGTTTCCGACAGAGTGAGAGCGGCATGGCACGTCGTTCAAACAACTGCTCCGTGCCTTCCGTCCGCCGTGCTTTGGCCGTGCGCACACTTTTGAGGTGCACGGTTGCAAAGAGTCGTCGAAGGCAGGGAGCTCACGCCGGAGGCGAGATGACCAACGTTCCCCCCCCCCCCCCCCCCCCTTGCCTTGCCGTCCTCACCTCGCCAGCTACCTTAAACAAATCTGAGGGCAGTTCAAAGAGGTGGGACAAGGTAAGAAATGGAGCCAGACTGTTGCAGCGATCCTGGGGTTGCCCCTCGTCGTCGCTCTCCTCCTCGCTCGAGTTAATGCTGAGCTTGACACTGGTGATCCATGGTTTCCGTTTCCTGAAAGATTTCGAGATGGAGGGGTAATGTATGCGTGCGCATTTATGTTTGTTTTAAACGGCGTCCGCAGCGTTCGCCGGAGGCTGCGGCATTCAGTTCGGCGAAATGCCCGCATTTGTAAGCTAAGTGAGTATCAGAAAATGTGTTCCTTCGACAGGTGCGGCGGTTGCTGATACCCCCGTTACTGGTGACGAAAATGCGAAGCAATTCACGGATGACCCTCCTGGAAACTGCCTCGGTGGTTCCTAGGCAAAACGCCGGCCTACGGGTCCCCAAGTAGAGGGTTTGAATCCCGGCCAGGATGCTCGCAATCCGACAAAGGCTTATTGTGGAGGAGGCGCCGTGTAATCAAGATTTCGGATGCACATCAAAAGATTACCGGGTGATCAAAATGAATCCTCGATCCTCCGCTGGGGCATGCCAGATGTCCTTCGTTTGTTCGTGGCACGTTGGCACGTAAGATCCCCAAGTTTGAATGTCGACTTAGACCTCTCGGAAGCGTAAATGCGACCATGCCGCGTGTCTCGACGCGGAAAAGCGCAGGTGTGAACTAGCTTTTCCTTCTACTTGAGCAAGCTGTTCATTGAGACTAAGCAATAGTGAAGCCGACTACTTACATTTTGCGTGCTAATGGAGGAGTTATTATCTTCCTAACTGCCGAGGTTGTTTGTGAACTGGGACAAGGGCCACCTGTCTTGCCTGCCGACTCTGCAGCGCCCTGTAAAAAAATTGTTGCACATAACAACAGCGTTAGTGACACCAAGTAATGCCCTCATACAAAAAATTCAATAGTAGTAATGCCCTGATACAAAAAATCCAATGGTAATGCCCTGATACAAGAAATCAAATGGTAATGCCTTCGTACAACAAATCTCAACGGTAGTGCCCTCTTACAGCAAATCCATTGGTAATGCCCTCGTACAACAAATCCAATCGAAACTTGAGTACTGCAACACAGGACAAGAACCTTCAAATTCCAGTTGCCGTTAAATGGGTACTCCAATGTCTTCTCCACAGTCCCCGATTTTCCTGAATACTGTTGAACCTTGATTTAACAAAGCCCGATTTTACAAATTTCCCGATTGAAAGAACAAATTCGGATTCCCCGTGCAGCCTATGCCCGAAAAATGTCTTTCTCGATTTTACGAAGTTTCCGCTTTAACGAAATAATTAGCGGGTTCCAGTGACTTCGTTAAATCGAGGTTCAACTGTATTTGTTAAAGACACCAACAAACATTGCTGAAACAGTAACCCAAATATTAAGCCAAAAAATAAACTTTCCTTTTTTTGCAAAGTTATTGAATTAGGAATTTGGCATTCATTGCATTTTTTGAAGTGAAAACCTCTACTTGCAACAGTGAAAAAGTGACGCCCAGGGAGACAGGGGTTCACTCTTTGGATTGTAGGCTTTGTCCCCAAATGATTAAAAGCACTTTCAGGGTGTCGAATGAATGCTTTTGGAAGTCTGCCCTAGCACTTGCACAGCAGCACGAAACAAATGCTCGGCACAATACATTTTGAGACTGACTGCTCGACCTGCAAACTTGCCTTCCCCCGACGTCGGGGCACTGAAAAGCGTGGGTGTATTTGAATGTTAGTTTTAGCAACATTTTCACTCAAAGACTTAAAGAAAAGCTATTCTGAACTTCGCAATATTAAAGAGCGTACCAGAAAGGATAAAGGCAGGCGATTGTGAAAATATAGCTAGTTTGGGTAGCTCGAAAATTCGCCGGAGTACCCCTTTAAGGCAGAGAAATCAAAATTGGTAACCAAAAATACTCCGTTTTTGCTAACTAACGCACATACTTCGTTTCAACGCAACATGGACCCGACGGCCAATCAGAACGTCAGAGTGAGGTTCTGATTGGCCGATACGCCGTCATTACATGACGGTGTATCGTCATCGTGTGTTCTTGCAGTCACATGCTTCACTCCACCCCTTAGATTGACAAATGGAGGACATAGCACTCTGCTTTTGCCAAGTGGTGCTAAAACTGCGTGTGGCACTCGTCAAAATAGAGATGGTGTGATCATCAGCGACAAAGCGCATGATACCACCACCGCACAATTATCATCCGCGTTTTCGGTTAACTTTAGCGCACCACCGCGCTTCAAGCCTTGATAAAATTCACTCATTTATTTATTTATTTACTTACACTGGGTCCTGCTGTGCCCGTTAGGGCATTATAGCAGAGAGAGGGTTACATAAGCAGGTATAAAATACACTTGGCGAATACGTCGCAGGAAATGACAAGGATGGCAACAAATTCCAATCTCTACTTGTACGAACCAAAAATTATGATTGGCAGGATGACACAGTTTCCACTTTGAAAGGAAGGACTAATCTCCGGGACACGTAGTACGGAAACGTTAAGTATTTGTCCTTTTGGATGGTGGTCAGGTCATGAAAAAAAGTGTGGAAGAATTTCAACCCGAGGCTTTTTCGTTGGGTAGCTCGCAATGACTGGTTTAGCTCCTCTTTCATTTTAGAAACGCTTTGACGGAATTGGTAGTTCTTTAAAACAAATCTAGCGCTCAGGTTTTGAATTGCTTCTGTTTTATCTATTAGCTTGTTTGTAGTGGGGTCCCAGACAATGCATGCATAATCAAGCATTGATCGAATAAACGTAAAGTAAAGGGTAGTTTTTAGTTCTTTACTACATTACCTGAAATTTCTTTTAAGGAAACCCAACATTCTGATGGCCCTTTTTAGTTAGATAATCAACATGTAAGTTCCACATTAGATACAATCTTGTGCGCAGCAAGCACGAGGACAAAAGAAGAGAATAGGACACAACAAGGCACAACTTTCAACTGAATTTTATCGGATATGTGGTCCGGTATTTATAGTCTCAACCATAGGCGTAGACTATGGGGGGGCAATGGGGCTCGTGCCCCCCCTAGTAAAATCCAGAAGGGGGGCGGAGCCCCCCCCCTCCCCGCTTGGGCAATGATCCTCACCGAGACGCTGCTTATGTGCCATATAACGAGCTTCTAGTAGCGGCATGAAAACAAAATAATGCGCATGTTGCCTTTATTGACAAAATACATGGGAAATGGGATTCCAGCATGTTTTCGTTAGCTTCAATCTCCAGTTCTGGCAAAAAAATAATGCGCAGCACCCCCCCTGGGAGAACTCAGCCTGCCCCCCTGGGAAAATGGAAAGTCTACGCCGCTGGTCTCAATTATCGTCACAATGACAGCAAACAAAACGACAAAAGCAAAGGAAAACGACCATCACTAAGCATAATTGGAAAGTAACACTACCTCGTTCTCAGGAAAAACAATTCCTTCTCCGATAACACAATCGACGACATAGCAACACACGTGTCTCCTAAATAATCAATGTGCTCGGCTTCTACAATTTCTCGTGTTAACGCTGACTTGCATTTCCCAATTTTTACGCATCTATCCAACAGTGGGGTACAACTGCATGTCCTGCAATGCAAGTCAAGGAAGCCACTGTTGGATGGATGTGTAAAAATTGGGAAATGCAAGTCAGCGTTAACACGCGAAATTGCAGAAGCCGAGCACATTGATTATTTAGAAGACACGTGTGTTGCTATGCCGTCGATTGCGTTATCGGAGAAGGAATTGTTTTTCTTGAGAACGAGATAGTGTTACTTTCCAAATATGCTTAGTGATGGTCGTTTTCCTTTGCTTTTGTCGTTTTGTTTGTCGTCATTGTGACGATGGTTGAGACTATAAATACCGGAACACGTATTCAATAAAATTCACTTGAAAGTTGCGCCTTGTTGTGTCCTATTGTCTTCTTTTGTCCTCGTCCTTGCTGCGCACAAGATTGTATAAGATGTCAAACGAACTTGCCCAAACAACCACTCTTCCACATTAGATTTTCGGAAAAAATGACACCCAGGTAGCGAATGCTTGGCACGCTTTCTAATGTGCAGTTGTCCATTCTATACACGTGTCCTGGTGTTGACTTTACTTTTCTAGAGAATCGCATATGCTTGCATTTTCTTACGTTAAGCTCCATTTTCCACTCTGTACACCATCCAAGACAGATCGTGCTGCAATATGTATTGGTCATCGTGATCACATATTGTTTTATAAAGTATACAATCATTGGCAAACAGCGTAACATGCCAGGATATATTTTCAACTACACTATTAACATAAATCTGAAAAAGCAACGGTCCCAACACCAACCCCTGACGTCACAGATACAGGGTTTGATTCGCATCCATTCAAAACTACAGATTGTGTTCGGTCACTTAGAAATGCCTCCAGCCACAGTGTAACATCAAGATCAAGTTTCAGTTGCCATAATTGATTCACAAAGAGCTGGTGGCTTACCTTATCAAATGCTTTGCTTAAATCAAAAAATCAAAATGACCGCATCTCCACGTGGTAAATGATGTTGATTGGGGCGAAGCTCTGGTGGTGCTGATGATACTGATTTTGTTCATAGGTAGTGCTGATGATTCAGATTTTTTTTTATTGCTCATAGGTAGTGCTGAATTCCGGGTTGCATTTCGACTTCATTATTACTGCCTTATGGTCGGTGAAATGCAGAGCCACTGGTTCTTCTAGCGGATCAGCTTAGATCCGCTAGAAGCTGTGGGAATGCATCTCCACCGCTTAAGTCAACGGTCCATGTCAGAAAGAGAATGTGTGGTATGGAACGTGGTTATATACGCATTTGAGCATTTGATCGCAGCGCCCTCTCGTCTATAAACGTTGAGCCAATGCATGCAAAGTTTAACGCGATTATATACGCATTTGACCGCAGTGCCCTCTCCTGTACAGACGTTGAGCGGCTACATGCAACGTTTCATCCATGACATCCCCAGCTCTTGAGTTACTACCACATTTGAGAGCCCCCTACTCGTCCCGCAGCAGTCGCGGCCGAGTGGTTAAGGCAATGGGCTAGAAATCCATTGGGGTCTCCCCACACAGGTTCGAATCCTGTCAACTGCGCAAACATTTTTTCTTTTTTTAAGAAGACAGATGGGATGGCAATCAATGTGAGCACGGACGCTGGACGGACAAGGCTAGAGCCTAAGGAGCTTCGCCCCTAATACAATCTGCAATATTACCAGACTCAACGCTCACACACATATCATGATAAAATTCTGCTAGTAACGTCGAGTATGACGCTGTGGCCCTAAATCCGTGTTGATGTTTAGTAATGTAGTTGTGTTGATCTAGGTGCCGATTTACGTTGGTGTATATAATATGTTCCAGCAGCTTACAAGCTATGCAACTCAAAGTTATGGGTCTGTAGTTTGCTACATTGGTTTTAGCTCCTTCTTCGTGAATAGGAACAACATGCTGTTTTGCAGTCCAAGGGAAGCATGTGATTGGACAGTGATTGGACAGACTCTTCGAGAATATGCATGAGGTATAGGTAACAGGCCATAATCTGGGAACAATTTTTCAGTGTGTGTGCTGAGAGGTTAAGGGCCCTTTGCTTTCGAGGTTTTTATTTCTTGACGAAATTTTCCGATTCCGTTCACATATAGGTCAATTCCAGGTATCTTGTAACGAATTAGGTTTGATAGAGGAGGGGCACTTACGGGAGGTGTCGAGTCACTAAAAAGTGAAAGCCGTTTACAACTCCCTGTAACACCGAATTAGAGCGCAGCTCTTGAGGAGGAGGAGGGAAGGGTACTGGGGGGTGAAGTGACCTGGGGGGGGGGGGGGTCACGTGACCTTGGGGGGTCACGTGACAATGCCGATGATGTCATCAGTGACGTCACTGATGACGTCATCTGTGATGATGACGATGACAATGCGGATGCCGGTGACGTCATCAGTGATGACGATGACGATGCGGATGCCGGTGAGGTCATCAGTGACGCCACTGATGACGTCATCAGTGATGATGACGATGACGATACCGGTGACGTCATCAGGGAGGTCACGTGACCTCGGCGGGGGGGGGGGGGGGGGGGTCACATGACCCTGGGGGGTGGTCACGTGACCTCGGGGGGACACGTGACTTTGGGTGTTTGGGTGTCACGTGACCCTGGAGGAGGGGTCACGTGACCTCTGGGGGCCACGTGACCTTGGGGGGTCGCGTGACCTTGGGGTGACCTTGGTTACGCCGACGCCGCTCAAGCCGGGATCGGGCCCCTAAGAGCTGCGCTCTAAAACTGATTTAAAGTGGTTGTTAAAAATGTTTGCCTTGTTCAAGTCTTCGTTACCAAAAAAAATCACCATGAAACAATGTTGAGATAGAGGTGTCAGTTTTCTTGTTGCTCCCAACAAACCTCCAAAACTCCTTATGGTTATCCGAAAGGCTGTCTGTTCAGTCTGTTGAAATATGACTCCTTGCACTCTTTAATTATTTTTTTTATAGCGTGCTGCCATTGCCGTAAGTTTCACTTTGTTGGAGCTGGTTCTATTCTTGCAATAGCGCTCATAGGCTCTTCTCCAAGCGGCGACTGCTTTTATAACATTATTGTTGACCCAGGCTTTATTTTGCTTTTTCTAACCTCTTATTATCTAACATGGTATATATCTTTCAACGCGTGGTTTTGGAAGACGCTCAGCAAGGTCCTAATTAGGACCACAAGTTTATGTTCCCTGATCAATAAGGTTAATACATTTTAATTAATTACTCTACTTATCAAGATGAGTACCCCAATATTATGGTATGCCGCCCTGGCTGCATAGCTAGCCTGCACAGATCACGTTAGTGTAGGTTTCGCAGCTTCTTCAAAAAACAGTCAGTAAAGCCAAAAAAAGACAGTCTGTGTACATGATAGTGAGTAAATTAGGATGAAAAGACATTCCATCAGATGATGACAAGTAGTGCAATCGTAAAGGTACCTGTCTGCTCGACGTTGAACGAACAGATGAAGGGACGTTGTTGGAAGTAAAGGAACCACTGTTCGTTCCCGTCACTCCCATGCTCCTCAGCTTGCTGAAGGGTGGCGATCGGCTGTGCAAGGCACTGCTCCTTTTTGAAATGCTGCACACACACACATACACAAAAAGAGAGGTCAGAGATGAAGAGCAACTCCCGACCCGTGGTTTTAGTGAGCTACAAAAAAAGGCTTTTTTTGTAGGCTTTTTTTTTTGTCATTTCCCTAACGAGAGACGACCATGCTGCGGAACTTTCACGGGTGTTTCGAGTGGTCTAGGGGTCATAAGAGATGACCTCCACAGCTTGAACCCACTAGGAGCTTCAATGTGGCTGCCAGTGTTTATGACACCCACCTGCATCTTTGCAAGTCTCTTAGCGAATCGCCAGCTGCCAGTATAATATGGTTTTAATATCAGCTTCGAGTACCCTTCTGTTTTGATTTGACTCCCGGCAAAACTGTCGACACCCAAATTGTGAATTTGCATGCAATGTCCTCTATACCTGACGGCTGCCCCGCACGTGTCGCAGATACACCTTTTTTATGCATCATCTAGGAAGGCTCTGGCGACATTGCAATATCAGCTGCTCACCTCTAGCTCATTCGTCAAGCCCACTCATTAAGCACAGCCAACAATGCGAACGAAAACATATCATAGTTGTTCGCTTGTTAGGGGCTTAACTCGTTTCGTTCCCTATTTAGTAGGTGAAAAACCACAATCATAGGGTTGTAGGTTGATTTAACTTTTAACGAATGGTTTGCGATTGGAATTGCAGTATATTCACGGCAATCATTGTCAGAGGCTAGATCAGTTTAAACATGTGGCAAAAACAATTTTCCATAAGGTGAAAAGTTTTGAGATATTATCAGATCAGCTCTCATATTTTTCTCTCACTTGGTTCCAGAGCTAGACGCAAAAAAGAGTGCCGCAAGTCCCGGCCATAACGATGCTTAGAAGACTAATATAGTCACATCAGTCACATAGCACGTTTTTGGTGGATGGGCCGACTGAACACTGGCTAGAGTGTGATGAGGTGCCAGAAATGAGTCTGCCGCTCTTCTATGCACAATTGTGAGAAGAGGTTTCTGGTGCTATTTTGCAGAGTTCAAGAATTGGGCGACAAAAATGCGAAAGTCGACTGACAGAAGTTTTAAAACCCAAAAAAAAATAGTTCCGAAAAAACTTTTTTTTTTTTAATTTGTTTGAATTAAGATAGACACACTGCGAATAAATGACAACTTATTGATGTTTTTTTTATTTATGGCCATATATTTTAGTAGTTTCATGAACTTGTCAACTTCATTTTATGTCTTTGGTTGTGCAGTGACAGTACCACCCAAGTTCCTAACCGCAACGTACAGATCACAAAGCAATGAAATAGGCCAAGCTAAACCCAACACGCAGCGAACAGTGGCCTGCCTCAAAACTTCAAGTACGCCGGTTGACATTAATGAACCCCAATCAGCTATTTTCCCAGCCACAAACACGGTGCTTCCTACGTCTGACATCTGCCAACCTTATTAATGTGTGTATTTTCAGAAAAAAAATTAATGTAGAGTAAAATGGAATGCACATGAGCTCGTGCCAAACGACGTCTAGTAAAGTTTTATTTTCCATCCCACTTTTATCGAGTTGCCGTAGGACTGCAACAAGAAAGAGTCTGGAATTCCTGTACCTCGTGAATATCCTGGGAGTTTAGGATTGGTTACACTACCTCAAAAGCGACGGCGGTCTCAACGGAGATGGCGGCTCGGGTGTGGCGGGCCACGGCTTGCTCGAAGGGGAACCTTTGTAAGCCAAGCCCTGCGACATCAGAGAGAAAGCCGTCTGAAAAGAGACTGTGTACTGCTTCACAAATGCAAACGACGAAAAAAGAGAGTTGCACCACTAAGCAAGCCAGAACATGTTTGAGCGCAAAAACGAGGATTCACGAGATATCCTGCGACAAACATCTACACGATAGCTTCCTTTCAGAACTGCTAGGCATACAGGCCTGGGTTGTCAACCATTTCCCTATGTTAGTTGGGCTGATCAACCACCTGCAACACTCCGAATGCACCTCCGCTTGTACCACACTCAAAATCACCTCAAGAATGGTAGCAAAACAAATTGATGATGGAGGCCAATTTGTAGAAACTACAGGGGTGATTATCTATGAATGCGATAGCATTTATCGCTGCACACACGAGCAGGTGTTCGGTTCCCCGCTAAATTAGCGGGGAACCTGCATTGGCGCGTAAGTCACGTGACAAATTTTCCGCTAAATTTAGCGTGAAAACTGGATTGGTCAATTTTCTGCTAAATTAGGGGGGAAGCTGAATTGGTGCGTAGGTCACGTGAAGTCAATTTTGCACTAAATTTAGTGGAAAATTGACTCCATCAGAGGCGACATACATAGGCAGAAATCTGTGATGAGTAGCTTAATAATGCTATCGCATTCAAATTCCGGCTCTTCGCGGGACACTAATAATTTTCCTCCTTCGTGTATTGAAATAAGATACTTGCAGGTGCATCTTAGATTAGCTTTATGTTATTTTATCGAGACGTGCGAGCTTTGAACAGCAAAAGCATTGTTTCTTCCTTCGACAACCAAATCTTGTAAGAACTACTTCGCACGGCGCACGAATAATTAGCAGAACTTATTTTTTTTCTCTATGTAACAATGAACAGAGACAGATTTGCGTTTGAGTGTGACCAAGTACACTGAGCCCACTTACGATGAGCGCCATCTATGGGGAGGCCCTGGGACATTTCAGACCTGCCCATATATTAACTTTTTACTCGCCATCCTCTCTTCACAGGCTTGAAATGGTCCTTAGAATGTTACAAGCGGCCCTTTCCGATAGATGGTGCGTAGATTCAACCTCCTAAAATGCCGTAAAACCTTCTGTCTAGTTGTGTGCAGATTGGAAGAGGTCCCGGGCTCCCCAACAGATGGTACTGGTGAGTTCTCTCATCGTAAGGGGTCACAAGCAGGCATTACGCAATCCGCCACCGAGTCTTTTTACACTGCCATGCAGACCCCGTCTATACATATTACCTCGAGAGCTTCCCTACGTCCCTCCGACCGGCTCGTAAGGGGCCGTAGCACTCGCATTTCACCAAGTTATGCAGTTCGGAGTGTGGTGTCACGTCTCGACGTACCCGTCTTCTCGGCGTCGGACCGACTGATGAAGGGACGTTGGCGGAAAAAAAAGAACCACCGGTCGTCCCCGTCGCTCCCACGTTCCTCGGCTTGCTTGGGGACCACGATTCGCACCGCAGAGCACCGCTCCTTTTCGCAACACTGCACACACACACACAGAGAGAGGCCAGAGGAGAGTTACTCCCAACTCATGTCGTCTGTCTTTAACAAATTCAAAGCAAAGTGTAGCGGCCTTTTTCACTTCCCTAATAAGAGGCGATAAGAAACCACGGCCCATGAGGCAGTTTTACGCAGCCCCTGGTATTAGGAATATTACTAAATAAAACTGTGCAAGAAAGGATCCGAGAGTGATGATGTTCTTTCTTGGAGATTGCGCCGGGACCCGACGACGGAGGCAGCCGATGGTCGCTGACGGAAGAATAAACCAGACAGGACTCCGCGGGTATGGGGAAGAAAAAAAACACGTCTATTTACAAGTGAAGCTAATTTTCGAATGTCACAAAAAGGTCCCACCACGTGCTGTCCTCGTCTTCTTCTCTCTCTAAAAAATGTCCCCTGCCCCAGCTCGCACGAGCGTCGCCAGTTCACCCACACACAGGGGCACACGTGCAAACGCCAACACGCAATGGAAAGAAAACGAAGCTCGGTCCTGTTCCCGCGTCCACTCACGGTGATGGCGGGGCCGATTTTCACACCTCCCGACTAAGTATATTTTTTAGACCCGAAATGTCAAAAATAATATATATAACATCTAAACTCAAACGCGAACGCATATCAGTCACACTTTGCACAGAGTTTGTGACTCGACCCGTCAGAATCCAAACTATCGAAAAAATTTACACCAAAATGCAAATCACACGCCAGTAAAGTGATTCTTACTGTGCCCGCCAAGGCTCCAAAGCAGTGACGAATCTCGCGCCGAGACTAGCGCAGCATCTAGCCTCCTAGCCTAGGCCTCTTTGCCGACAGGTTATTCAAGCCACCCAGATTTCGGCGGGGCTTGAATCGGACGGTGTGTAGCTGGTTCCGGAATTTCTCCGCGCAAGAGCGACGACAGTTTATACTCTGTCTAGATTTACGAATTAGGAAGGGGCCTCGCAGGCGGTCGCCGTTGTTGACGTCTTCTGCACTCCCAGCTCTCTCATACGTGGTCGGCTGGCAGGTGGTCGAGTCTTCATCAGCGTCCCTAGCTATATTCTGGGACATATTCATCTCGAAGACGGTGTCCTCGTCGCTGTCCCCGCTTTCCCTGACATGTTCACCGTCCGGCTGTGACGTCAGCCACCCTAACAAGATGTCCGACTTCTTGTCGACACCCACTTCCCTGACTTGGTCACTATCAGCTTGCCAGAACGTCTGCCGCCAAAGCAAGATAGTCGGTTCTCTCTCGTCGTCGACGTTCACGTCCTCGTCGTGATCATCCTCCGCTCGAAGAAACGCCTGCCGCCCAGGCAATAAATTCGGTCCTTCGTCGTCATCCACGTTCTTGCCATCGTCGTCCTCGGCTCGCCGAAATTTCCGCCTCTCGGAAGATACCCTCGGTTCTTCTTTGTAACCGCCGCCCATGTTCTCAACGTGGTCGTTATTGGCTTGTAGGAACTTGTGCAATTCAGGTAAGATATCGGGACCGGCCTCGACGTTGTCGAAGTTCACACATGGGTCGTCCTCAGATCGCCGGGACGCCTGCCCCCCAGGCCAAGTGCACGGCCTTTCGTCGTCGACGTTCACCTGCTCGTCGTGGTCGTCCTGGGCTCGCTGGGACATCCTCCAGGCATGCGAGACGTTCAGCTCATTTCTGCCGTCAACGTGCGCCTGCACAGGCACGCAGCTGCGATTGTTCTTTGACGACCGCTTCGTGTCGTCGGCTTGTAACAGAATCTGAGGCGCCTCGCGGACCGATGGGTGCAGCCTCTTCTGGCCTTGGAGGTTCAAGTTGCTACCGTCGGTCTTGCCCACACCGGTCGTCACCTTGTCGGGCTCACAACTGGAGTCTTCCTCCACAGTGACATTCTTGGCGTCTACTCTTTTCTTGTAAAACCGAAGTTCTTCGTCTGGCGTCTTCGTCCGGGGACATTCGCGGGAAAGGTGCCCCAATTCCTTGCATTTAAAACACTTCACCCCATAATATTCAGGTATAATGCCCTGCCTTGGGTTCTCGTGTTTTTCCTTGAGAGAAGTGGTGGTTTCAATAAAGGGCCTCGAGACCTCAGCTCGCGACACTCCGAGCTCTAACAAGACCGATTCTTTGACCACACCATACCCACTTCTCTCACCCATGTTCAGCCTATTCACTAGTGCACGGATGCTCTCCGTGAAGTAAGGTCGCACAAGATATCCTCTGAACCGCTCAGGGACTTCGTATGCCTCGAAGACGTTTTCTACGCCATCAAACCATCTTGGCACTAATAAGTCGGACGACGGCATGGGAGTCAGCACTCCCTTCATCAACCTCGAAAAGCGAAAAACTTCATCTCGGAGGTTGAACTCCACGTCGCCTCCACTGGCTCGCCTTTGGTTTTCTGAGCGTAGATGTTCTAGTTCTAGCTCGAGGCGTAACAGCCGTTCTTTCTCCCTTATAAGTTTTATCTCCTCTTCAATTGAGCTGTATGATCGGACTCCTCCGTTCCCATCCCCTTGTGTCTGCGAGTTTGCCACTAATCTACTCAAAGGTGACAATTCACCTGGCCCGTCAACATCCCTATTCCGACCCCTATTCTGCTCTGGCGTTAGAACCGGCATCCGCCGCTCTGCGCTGTCTGTATCCATGGCGGGCACACGTCAAAGAATCACCTTACCGTAAGGTCAACGATTGCCGCTGGATCACAGACGCAGCCCGCTGCTCAGAATAGTCAGGCACGAAATGATGTCCGAGGTGTAGACTCAAGCGTTCCTCGCTGGAGTGGGACGGCATCCGGTCAGAGGTAGCTATGCCACCACGAAGTAGCTCGGTGGTCCAATCTTCAAGGAGCCCGGTGGTCCAGTCTTCTCTTTAGAAGGCTCCACCAATGCCGCGTCAAGTCGCTGTCCGCCGATTCCGTTGTGAAGATCACGCCGCCGGGGTCCGCTGACGCAATCCTGTCGACTGCGCCAGTGATGATGTTCTATCTTGGAGATTGCGCCGAGACCCGACGACGGAGGCAGCTGATGGTCGCTGACGGAAGAATAAACCAGACAGGACTCCGCGGGTATGGGGAAGAAAAAAAACACGTCTATTTACAAGTGAAGCTAATTTTCGAATGTCACAAAAAGGTCCCACCACGTGCTGTCCTCGTCTTCTTCTCTCTCTAAAAAATGTCCCCTGCCCCAGCTCGCACGAGCGTCGCCAGTTCACCACACACAGGGGCACACGTGCAAACGCCAACACGCAATGGAAAGAAAATGAAGCTCGGTCCTGTTCCCGCGTCCACTCACGGTGATGGCGGGGCCGATTTTCACACCAAGGACAAGTGGAAGACAAACGAAATGCTCTGTTCCAGCCTGTCTCCGGTTTGCCCTTGTTACCTTTTTTGCACCGTATTATTTACTCTTGTCACAATGTCTATGTTCTGTACAGGTCAAAGCTGGATGACAGTCTTCGTAACTACACAGCAATCGTTATCAATTGAATCTCGTAAAAAAAATAAAAATAAAGTCAGTTGCCTTCCTTGTGGTGGGAATGCTTTCCTTGAGAACAATTATGTAGGGGAAAATGTCCAATACATAAAGGCTGTTTATTTGGTTCAGTTGCACAAGAGAAGGTTTTGCACGAGCGAGCGGTGTTGGTGCGGGTGCTATGGTTTCTTGTTCCGAAAGTGAACCTGATCCTCTCTTCACACAGACACCCGCACCCTCTGGCGAGATGCCGGAGCCAATGCTGGTTGGCAGCCGCTGGAGGCGAAATTGAAACTGAACTTGTTTGCCAGCCACCAGAAACAAGCCCAAAACTGAACTTGCGCGATGTCCACCAATTCAATGTTTGTGGTTGCCCGAAGCAGGAAGGTAGTAGGATACAAAGGAACCAAAAAGCTCCGGATGATTATGTTGAAGAGGACTTGGGACTTGGGCCTGCTTTCAGACTCATTGTCCATGGTTAACAAGTATTAACAAGTATTAACAAGTTAACAAGTACGATGAGCGTGAAGCATTTTAAGGAAGTGTCAAAATTGCAAATCAAATTTAACCCTTAGTTTTTCATCAGTATTTTTCACCGATAATCACCAGTTTTAATATCTGCACAAAACAAATACACCAATTTTGAAAAAAAAAACCAAAAAAACACAAACCTTTGTTTGTGTTTCTTAGGAACACTGGAAAATTTACTGCCTAGACATTAATGGACCCCAAACAAAAAAATGTTCCAAGACACAAACATTCTGCTCCCCATGTCTGATCTGCTGGCCTTACTTGCAGATGCTTAGCTTTTCAGAATAGATGAATCCGGAGTAAAATAGAACATACATAGCTGGTGCCAAAATGGTGTCTATGGTCGGTGATAAGTTAAAAGCGCAGGACAAACTCCTCCCCTCCCCCCCAGAAAGCCCTCCGCTCTTTCCACTTTAGCAGAGCAAATGCTGGAAAGGAGGCGAGTTCCTTATTGCTAGTTCTCCAGTGTTCATTCTGTTAAAGTGTAAAGAAAGGGAGGAGGGCTTAGTGGGAGGAGCATGTTCCGCATTCTTAACCTGTAACAGACTATAGAACAGTTATATATTCAATCCAACCTTTATTGAGGGCTGCAGGACTCCAGCGAGCGAATGAGTCTGGATCTACTGTTCCTCATAAACATACGGCGATTTTAGAATCGATTATACTACCTCGAAGGTGACAGCGATTTCAACGGAGATGGTGGATCAGGAGTGGTAGGCCACGGCTTGCTTGAAGCGGAGCCCTTGCAAGCCAGCCCCTGCGAAATCAAAAAGAAAGTTGTTTCAAAAGAGATAACGTAAAGGTTCACAAATGCAAATGAGGGTACAACATAAAGGACCCACCACTAAGCAATCTACGATATGCAGAACCGTCTAAAAACAGGTATTCATGAGAAGCGATGCAACAAAAATGTACAACTCAACTTGGGAATAGTTTTCCCACGTCCTTTTTCTTCATTTCTGCTTCAAACTAGCAGAAATGTTGTATTGTTCGGTTCAGCCAGATTTCTTTCATCTATGGCTATGATGTTGTACTTTTTTAAGACAGAATATGTTATAGCGCTGTTTCTTAGCAGTTTCCTGTCATGAAAGAGCGTTGGACAAATTGACTGGACACGAGTGCCGCATCGGCGCCCAGCAGGAACTCGTGCCCGTGCTGACCTCCATCAGGCGACTGAAATTGCAGCTCTATGCAGAGCACAAGTTCGTCTGCTTCTTTTCCAGGGGTTGTGGTGACGTCAAAATGCTGAGTTATGATTGGCTTTGATTGAAGGATAGTAGAGAGACCTCAAGGCAGCATGCTTTGAGGTCTATCAACTATCCTTCAATCAGAGCCAATCAGAGTTCAGCGTTCTGACATCACCACAGCAAAAGAAGCAGATGAACTTGCACTCCGCATAGCCTTGTTCATCCAGGAGTGGTTGAGTGAGTGGGCTCGCACATACGGTGGGAGTGTGCGCGGGAAGTGACAACCAACCTCTTAGAAATACAACAATCCTTATCCCTTCTATATCTCGCTCCAGAAAGAAAGAAGAGGCATGGAATAGCGGGATCAGAGCTCAGGTCTGCGAGCACAAGAAACGCAAACTCCGCGTTCCACTCCTGCTTGAACGCTGGCTTGGCAGGGCTTTCTTTTAGAGACACTACGCACAACGATGTTTGTGCTGTCGAGGCACAAAATGCGTACCAAATTAATCCATACAACACCACCGCAAAACAACACAAAATACTTTTTATGTTACCACAGTTCTTGTCACGATAGTCTGGGAGAAGGGTAAATTATTTAAATGGGCTTTGGGTAGACCAAGCAGTCACATCATCCACGCAGCAAAACAATACACAATACCTTTTGTGTGTAAAGTATACAGCAAGATCAACCACCTACACCACTCTGAATGCCAGTGTTGCGGAATGGGTACCCCCCTTCCCTTCCAGCTTCCTTCTGAGAAATTAGAGCTTTTGATAATTTCATTCCTTTGAACTTTTAGGAATGGAGACACCGGGCCCGCTTACTGTCCTGCAATGGCCAAACTCTATCATTCCACTCCGATAATTCTTAAAAGTGAAAAAAATGGCTCTTGACAGCTACATCATGTTAACGAAAGAAACAGCATAAAGCTGATGTTATAAAACGTAGAGACAACTGCAAGAGTATGCAAAATGCTTTCCCAAAGCACTTATTCTACTAAGCCAAGCAAAGGTCCCACAAAGCGCTTCATGGCTCTTGGTGTCACTGTCGACATTGATAGCACAATCAAGCATAAAAGGCTTGCAACAGACGCCAGAATTTAAAGCCACCCAGCTTCTCCGCAAACAAATACTCTCTACACACATATGATCGACACGTTTGTCTGATAAGGCCTTAAAAATGTCGTTAGTGGGTGGGACAAGAAGCTATCCTGCTCTCTGCTTCGAGTATATATGAACAACAGCACCGCTAGCACGCTGTTAGAAGCGACACCGCATACACCTCCCTCAAGTCTCCATGCACGGCTGCAAGCACACAAAACTGCTGACAAAGTGCAATCGCTATAGCGCCAACACGAAGAATTGTATGATTATATTGGGAACATGTCTTAAAACATATACTTTTACATTTGCCGTACAATTTTCATGATCCTTAATATTCAATTCAATTCTTTATTTGATTTCTATGCAAGCACTAGATCTGATAGGTCAAAAGCTACACGCTAATTGTGCATGGTTACAACAGTTCCCGTTTTTGTGCCTCGCGGCGCTGGGAAGAACACTTTGTTCCTTTAAAACTTTCCAGTTTCTGCTTCACTGGGGGCGCGCCACTTTCATCCTTGTACAAACATGAGCCGGCCAGAAAATCAAGCCGTCAGTCACCTGAAGCACAGCGATGTTGTTTTCAGAGCCACTTCGACCGTGCGATAGCATTGCGCCAGCAGGCCGCAGGCAATAGTTATAAATTGAAACAGCTCGCGTAAGAACCAAGCCCATTCCATTCCCACTCCGTTCTGGGCAAGAGGCATCTAATTCCATTTCCATTCCATCCCTCCCCGCACTGCCGCCATTACATACCCCTTCCATTCAGAGGGTGCGAAAATGTAAAATGATTCCGAAATCCTTCAAACCCCTGAGTGGCGACTCTGCAACTCTGCTGAATGGATATCTGCTTCTATCACAGTCCCTATGACTCTCCCAAACGGACCTCGACTACACACATTACCTTGCCGGTATAGCCAACGTTGGAGGCCGAACTGTAGTGTCCACAAGGAGTCTCAGGTTCCAGGCTACCCCTGTCCAAAGAAGAAACAACGGCAACAATATAAGCTGGTGCGTAATGCAAAACCTGTCGATTAAGGCATATTTTTAGCACCAAGCTGGAATTACTCTGTTAGGCTTCCTTAACTTTGACAGCTGTCACAGTACCTTTGTGGGGGACCCCTAGAATTGCTGCGCTGAGCCGTGCCTGTTACATATCGTTCCATGCGCTGAGCACTAGAGGGCCGACCGACATTCTGCAACAAAGCAGAAACCTTTGCACTCCCTTCTGTCCACTGGCAACACAAATATCACAGGAATTTTTTTTAAAGCAGATACTGTGGCTACCAATGATGTAATATGGTAGCATATAAGGTTCTTATACGAATTGCAATGGGGAAGGGGGGGGATACAAAACTAAGAAGTAAAGTGGAGGAATGGAATATAATTTTGGCAAACATACATATTTTAAGCCTGATTGACCTGAGCCAACACACAGCTAGCTTGCATGCAGTCTCATTCGGCAACGCAGGTGGTTATGCCCATTCATTGCTTGTTCTGGCGTGCTAGTTGAGAGGTGTAAATTAGTACTGTAGAGGAAAATGCACATGGCAGGTAAACCACAAACATGGCAGAACAGATCACATCAGTGCAACCTATCCATATTCTGCAGGATTTTATAAAGGGAGTTCACTGGTAGCCACGGGGGATTTCAGTGAATGGCGTATTTGAGTGCGCTGTTCACAGCGCATGCTCAGGGCGAGCTCAAACTTGTGGGCTGCCAAGATTGGCAATCTTGACAGTGCGAAATGCACATTGCAAAGACACTCTGGAAGTTGTCCGTTAACATGTGGCTCCAAACAAGCCGCTGCCGTCAGCACAACGCATATAGACACTCTTCACCTCTTGCAAATCTGGTTTCTATGTGCACTCAGTGCCAACACCTTCTGCGGGCAAACGTGGACCAGTTTGTAAACAATGAGTTGGCCGGTTTTGTGCGACGGCTGCCACATGTGTGTTTAAGTGTGTGAATGTTTCTTTTTGCTAATACATTTTTTTTATGTTGCCTGGTAATGCAGCACCACAGGCCTCAGGTCTTTCTATGTTGTCACAGCCCCTCAGGGTGGAAGATTATTATTATTATTATTATTATATGACAGTGTTGGGAAACAAAGAATGAAGTCAATAGGCTAAGTATAACCACAATGGAAAAAAGTTTAGCTGGGGAGAAATAGAACTGTACTGTTTTTCACCTCGTTTGGTGCATTGCTCATACGCTGCACGAAGTAGTTCTTATGAGATTTGGTTGTCGAAGGAAAAAGCAATGCTTTTGGCGTCTGAAATGTGCATGTCTTGATATGATAACATATGTCTACTCTAAAATGTACCTACATATATTTTAACTCTACACATAAAGGGGGAAATTAGTAATGCTCCACGAGGAGTCAGACATTTATTTACTACTATTCTTGAGGTAAAACGAGTAGTCGTATAAACACCTTGAATTCTAGTGCTTTGCAGTTGGCAAATAAACTGATTTGGTATTTCGGCTAACTGAAATGTGTAAAAAAAAATTCAACATGGCAGCAGTCACAAAAGTACAGGATACAGCCAAGTTGGTTGAGTGTGTGCTACTATTGAACTTTCACAATGATTTGGCAATGTGCCACACTGTAAAGATTGTCTTTCTTGGTAGATGGTACGCAGAAGCTTGTTTTGAGCATGCACCATGAACAATACACTCAAACATTATGTCTAGTGGATACATTCATGACAATAGACGTTGTTACCATGCTTGGTGTGAGACTTGAGCCATCAGATCCATCGTGGATGAACTGCCTGTGATTAGGGACTGGGTTCACCTGCCCAACACGCAAAACAAAATGGCAATAGGAGAGTCCTCTCTCGTTCATGGCCAGGGATCATGGGGTGCCTACTATCTGCGCTGTCTTTGCTCCCTGGTGATAATATTATACTTTCTTTCTTCCTCTTAAATCAAATGACAAAACTGAAAAGAAAAGAAAAACTGACTCAGATGCGACAGATAATTCTAAACCCTCCTGCTTGTCTCAAGTGCTACAGTCCTAGTGGGGCAAATAGAGCAAAATCTAGCCTAAAATGTAGTTTTATTACAAAGTACAAAACAGGTTAACTGAAAAGCATGTTGGTGAAATTGGCTGACAACAGAAAGAATAAAGCAAACTTGGGATGATGGACGACAAACATTTCTTTCAACTAGAAACGAGAAATGTTCGTCATCTATCGTCCCGAGTTTGTTTTATTGTTTCGGTGGTCAGTCATACAAAGCAGACCTGACACAGAAGAGGACCAGTCGGGTCCTATCACAACTTCTTTTTTTATCTTTCGCACGCGCACTCGTCAACATATTCATGCTTACTGCTGTCTCGACGGCAACTCTCCCTCACGCGGCCCTGACGTCACGCAGCTGCGGTGGTGCTGTCGACGGCACTGCGAATGCGCAGACGCTTCACGCGCAGTGCCCACACCTGGTGTGGGCAAAGGTGGGCTTGTTTGTAAACAGCGTGTCGGTCTATACTCCGTTTCACCTTATTTTATTGGGCAGGAGATCGAACTATGGAGGGCGCTCTGACCCGTTTGTTTTCCCCACGCTCGGTGTTTACTCAACACAAGGCCTGTGCCCATGCCGACAGGCCTTATGGGCATGGCCATGTCATCTTCTACAATAGAGCGCGGGGCACAGTTTAATGTAAAAAATACTAACAATCGACGAAGCGACGTTAAGTGCCGGATCTATCCGCAGAGAATGCGAGCTTGACCCACTTCGGCTTTTGTGCTGAGCTGGGATCGTGCATGCTGCATTGTTCATGCAGGCCGTAGTGGAAACAACAGAGCCCCTCCTCCCCCTCGCCGGAGAGCACAAACTCCAGCCGAACGCTGACGCAGGGTTCGGTTATGTCGGCCGAGCGCTGCGTCATTGTATTTGTTGTCCCCATCCGTGTAGCTGTTAAGTTAACCGCTTGGGGCGTCACGGTCTGTCCTCCTCCCCAATACCGCACACAAGGCTAGAAGCGCGAGCTCATAGCGTTGGGAGCTACTCTTAACGCACGAGAGCTTGTGCCGCCGAGATGTGCCCTAGAGCAAGGAGCTCGCGCTTGTAGCTTTTCCTGCGGTACATCACAAGGTGAAAAAAAAAAAAAAGTAAAACAAAATGTCAAGAGCTACTGCCAGAGAGAACACGCAGGCCTAAGCAAGGCCCCAGGGTGCGTAGCAGTATCTTCGTAACATCTATGTTTTTCAAACAACGTGCGGGTACCTCACACACAAGGTGTGAGGTACCCGCACGTTGTTTGTACACGCACCTATTCATTGAGCTTCGTTTCAGCGCAAATTTCAAATCAGTCTAAGAATGGTTGGAAAGTTCTTTTAACTATACTCCGTTTCACCTTCCGTCCGAGCACAGCGGACGCTAGGAGCCATCCCAGCCAATGCGGCGTTGAGGGAGTGTCATGCGACCTTGAGCTCCCTGTGTCGCCCCGCCCCACCGGCAGGTCACGCGACTTTCTCCCGGCGCTGGATCGGCTGGGATGGCTCGTGGCGTCCACTGCGCTCGGACTGACGGTGAAACGGAGTATAGCACGGGCCGTTTGCTGAAGCAATAACCGCCCTGGAGGCCTTTCTGGCCAACTGCGTTTCTGAAAACCACCTTCGGATTACTGGCCGGGCCAACTAATGACGATGCGAGCACCAAGCTAAGAAATTGAAAGCAAAACACACAAAGGGAACGACGACGGACATGCGAGTACGAGTTCGTACTGGTTCGTACATGTCTGTCGTCGATCTCTCCATAAAGGTCCCCTACGCACATTTGCGTTTGAGAGCGTTTGACTGCGTTGCATCACGAAACGAAAGCAAGTCACCGGCACAACTGTGCTTCGTATGAAGCGTGGAATCCAGTTCAAGAAATAGCTTGGCACGACATAAGAAGCAGGGATGTCCCGGTTTCTCGCAGCCGCAACGCAGTCAAACGCAACCGTGCGTAGGGGCCTTTATGCTTTACACGCCCGTCGAAAAGGGACGCCGGCTCACCTGCTCCGAGCAAAGAACTTGGCGACGCTCGTCCTGTTTAGCGCTGGTACTTTTGTATCCATCAACCAAAGGCCCCAAAGGCACCAGAAGTGTCAAAATCGTCTAACCGGCTACAACTCACAGGGAAGCGATGCGATGCACTTTTTAAAAATGGAGCGGCTTAGAAGCGGCCAGCGTTGGCACCGGCAATATTTTGTGACGACGCGAGTAGGCTGGGTAGGTGGCGCTACCAGCCTCCAGACAAAAAACGAGTAGCGCGGCGTAGCGCGGCGCGAACACACATGGCGCCACCATCGAGGTATGGTTGGTATCATAGAGTTATTATAATGTACGCTAGAGGTTCAACTGGCGCTAGTGTCTATGCGACTTCCGTGACAGCAGCCAGTCTACCGACAACAACCAGTCTGCTTTTCCAGTCTTCCTGTGTATTCCTATGGGAAAGCGCGCGTGCATTTTGTCTCTTCGCCGGAAAATAACACAGGACACTTTGGTTATTTGGGTCGTACCGAATAGTATGTACCTTGATTAACACTGTAAAAGTGTAATTGCTTTAGTTAGAGCATTTTTCTTCATCACTGACCGATGTTTAACTTTACTACATTTCAGTCCCAAACGTGTGTTCCGCAGCAGGTGTGTAGAAACAAGCGACGATTCGAAGCAAAATTACAATCGAAAGGAATGTAGAGTGTGTTCAAGGCTCGCCAGCAATCCGGTGACGCTTATATATTGATAATATGCCAGTCCTGTCACTATATAAAAATGACCCCGTCGTGCATGAGCGGATAAAAACATTCAAAACGGAGAGAATAAAGTCCGTGGGCTATAAAAGTTGTCTCTTCGTATTGTTTTCTCTGCCGGGCAGCTTTTATCGGGCACTTGTTCTCAAAGATTTCAAGCGTGCGAGTGATATTTTGAACGTAGAACAAGCAGCTTCGCTCAGAGCAGAAAGAATAAAACGGTACTTACTTATTTAAAATAGGAATAGATTACGTGGCCTTCAATTAATTTTGATCGTATATGCACGTGTAGTTACTGATCCGGTGTTACTGCGTAGTTCTTGCCGTCTTTCTTAATTTCCAGATGTTCTTCGTTCGCTGAAAAACTCCGACGTCGTGTTCGCGCCATAGAGTTATTACAATAAACGCTAGAGGCTCAGCTGGCGCTAGTGTCTATGGGACTTCCGGTTGCAAATTGAAGCAGACAGCATGCAGTCTACTTTTACAGTCTCCCTGTGTATTCCTATGGGAAAACGCGCGTGAATTTTGTCTCGTCGCCAGAATATAGCATTAATAACTTTTATTATTTCGGTTGTACTGGATAGTATGTACCTTTATTAATATTGTGAAAGTGTAATTGCTTTAGTTACAGCATTTTTCCTTTACCACTGAACGATGTTAAACTTCGCTATATTTCAGGCCCAAACCTCTGTTCCATGGCAGGTATGTAGAAACGAGCGACGATTCTAAGCAAAATAACAATCGAAAGGAATGTAGAGTGTGCTCAAAGTTCGCCAGCATCCCGTTGGTGCTTATATATTTCTAATATGCCTGTCCTCTCACTATATGAAAATGACCCCGTCGCGCATCTTTACAAGTGGTTAAAAAAAAAAAAAAAAAAAAAAAAAAAAACGTTCGAAACGTAAATAATAAAGTGCGTGGGCTACAAAAGGTGTGTTTCCTTATTATTTCCTATGCTGGGCAGTTTTTATCGCGCACCTGTTCTCTGGCTTCTCCCTATTTGCAAAGATTTGGAGCGTGCGGGTGATGATTTGAACACAGAACAAGCATCTTCGCATATATTCATGAGCAGAATAAAGCAGTACTGATTTATTGCAAATCGGACTATATTACGTGACTTTCAATTTATTTTGATCGTCTGCAAGCACAGGGAGTTATTGATCGAGTGTTACTGCGTAGTTCTTGCTGTCATCTTGGTTTTCCAGATATCCTTCGTTCGTTTGGCACGTATATCCCCCATGCTGGAAAGCGCTGACGCCGTGTTCGCGCTAACAGTGCCCGACAGTGCACATAAATACATGTACGAAGCGGTTTTAGCACCGTTTTTCATGCCACGATTTTAAAATAAAAACGCCGTAACTGACCAATTATTTCATCTGCGTGTCTGGGAAATGTTCCAATGTGCCTAGTAGGTACGAATTATTTGTGATATCTGCTCTTATAATCGAGCGCAGAGAGGAAATGCACTCGATTTTTTCCATAGAAATACATTACCGGAAGTCAATTTCGGACTGCTTGCTGTCTGCTTCAATTTGCAACAGCACACTAGCGCCAGTTGAACCTCTAGCGTACATTATAATAACTCTATGGTTCGCTCTAACAGTGTCCGACAGTGCACATAAATACACGTACGAAGCTGTTTTAGCACCGTTTTTAATGCGATGAAGTTGAAAGAAAAACACCGTAACTGACCAATTATTTCGTCGGCTTGACTGAGAAATGTTCGAAGCTACCTAGTACGTATGAATTATTCGGGATATTTGCTCTTATGATCGAGCGTAGAGAGAAAATGCACTCACTTTTTCCCATAGAAATGCATTACCGGAAGTCAATTTTCGACTGGTTGCTGTCTGCTTCAATTTGCGTCAGCACACTAGCGCCACTTGAACCTCTAGCGTACATTATAATAAGTCTATGGTTGGTATAGTACGAGTATGGGTACGAGCAAGGAGGATAGAAGGGTAGGAGAGGGCATGACGTCGGCCGCGTAGACCGTACCTAGCCTTCGTCTTGCTATGGGGTACTAGAATACACCACAGTCTAGCCTTCGATCTGATAAAACCTACCGGACGGAGCGCGCGCAAACTTGCAAGGACTCCTACTACAATCAACCATCCATCTCACACGTGACATGTCACGCGCACCAATCGCCAGAGAGATCTGCGGTCACGCTGGGCACAAAATCGTTTAAACTTTTTTTTTTACTAGGCTTCACCAATATTGCAACGTGCCCCCTCCTAGTACTTCTAACCTCCTTGTGCTGAGCCAACAAAAGTGGCTGTGATGTAGAGTAACTTCCGCTTACTCTCGTCCCCGACCGCCAAGTGGGCATATCCAATAGACCCTTTCCGAAATTCAGTCTGGCCACTTTGATCACTATCATCATCATCCGAAAAATGGCATATGTGCCATACCAGGCTAGCGGCTGTACCGCACTGGCTAAATTTCTCATCTACAGCTGGGAGACTTGTCGCCCCTGTGAGGCAGACCAAGTTCTAGGCTGTATAAACACACACACAACCAAATTAATTATTATTATTGAAGATACTCCTAAGCTGAGGATTCGAGGCACGTTGCGAAGCCGGAATTGAATGCAAGTGCTGCGTAAGCGTTCGTTTCACTAATTCGGGCCCAGTGAACCTGGTAGGGGCACAAAATCGACTTCGAAACCCCTTGACTTATAGAACTTTATCAAGGCGTCTGTCTCGGCTGGCGCATCGTTCTGACTGGTTGCATCTTTGTGGGATTGTAGGAATCGACACTGGAAGAAATCATCCAGAAAAACCTGTATAGCGAAGAGTTTATTCTCGTCTGCCGTTGACATGCAAAAGTGATGGTGCCCGATAAAATACTGCAGGCTACGGGTTCATTGCCGCCATTCGTATGGCAAAAGTTAACCCGCGTTTTCAGCCACCAGATGGCACTGAATTTCGGAAAGGGTCTATATGGGCGACGAAAAAATATTAAAACATTTCAACCTGAAAATAGTAAAAAATAGAGGGGAGACAAAACGAGAATGGGTGACGGTTACGCTTATCTTCTAAATGCATTTTATTGGCGTGGCGACGGCAAAGCAATGTTGGCAATGTTTTCGCCCATACTAGAGCCACTAAATCAGCTGCGCTTAGAGTATCGGCACTCTGTTCCCCGACATTGTTGTGGGCGCCGCCATTTTGGTGCTTGTGCAGAGCAGACGCAACTACCGATTGTCATGATTCAAAATGACGACTTCCTCAGCATTAGATTAGGTGATAGGAAACTCATGTAATATTGCTTTGCTCTGTCGCGAACTGTTTAAAGATTTGTGGAGGCCGGAAAAGCGTTTCTTGGGATTTCAGATAAAGCTTCAGATAATTAGCAACCATGATTTTAAGCCACAATATGGCCAAGTGTCGTTACTCTGAAGCGTAGCTTATTTAGTGGCACTAGCCCATACTGGAAGTGACGATTTTCCAAGATGGCGGCGCCCTTGTGTAAAAGGTCTTGCACATGACGTCATTTCCGGTGACCTCCAAAGAAAAAGGAAGAAGGAGCTCTCCTCTTATCACGCTCGGCACGAGCCATGCGATGAAGTTCGCTGCTCGCAATAGGAGCATGCGGTTTGCGCGCACGTCCGCACAACTGAAAACAACAACAAAAGAAACTGCGCAAGTTGACGTGCATCCCTGAAACCCGTTCCATTGTATAGACCTTTTCCACAAGGGCGCCGCCATCTTGAATTGTCGTCACTTCCAGTATGGGCGAAAACATTGTTTCGCCGTCGCCACGCCAATAGAAGGCATTTAGGATATAAGCCTAACCGTCATACATTCTCGTTTTGGCTCCCCTCTATTTTTTCGCTAGTTACAGGTTGAAACGTTTTTGTATTTTGTCGTCCCCCATACTGGAAGTGACGACAATTCAAGATGGCGGCGCCCCTGTGGCCGATTAAAGCCAAAGTAGAACAGTCACGGCTAGTGGCGTAGCCAGGATTTTATTTCGGGAAGGGGGGGGGGGGGGGGGAGCCAATAACACGAATTTCTCCCCCCCCCCCCCCCCCCCCCCGGATTGACGAAGGAGGGTGAGCTCGGCGGTACGGACGGGCAAAGCTGCATTGTCATTTTTGAAAACGGACAGGCTTCATTTACAAGCTACAGGAATACGGGCGTAATGGCCCACTGTTCTATACTGTGGTCGTAGTTGCGGCCCGCCACCTTTAAAAAGAGACACTACCCAGAAAAAAAAGAAAAAAAAATTCTGCAAAAGAAGTTGATATTTAAAAATGACATATTTACATCTACCAACATCTAGAGAATATTCCCAGGAAGTTTAATCAGTTTAGACTGCATAGTTAATTTTTTATAAATTATTTTCTGTCCACCGAAGTTAAAGAAAAGGCGGGGTTTGCAGCACTTTGAACGCATTTTTTCTGTTCCCCTTTTTGGTATAAATACCATTTTAGTCAATCTATCGC